ACCCGAGAAGCGGCTCGATGCGCTTTGGCCGATGACCGGCCCTGCAATGAACATACATATAATTCGCACGAAGGAACCGATGCCCCAGGCGTATCACCGGCTATACATAGCGCGGCTCGCGCGACGCGCAGACGCCTGGAATCCCGACGCTTTTACATGCGCCACGGCGGGATGAAAAAAATATATTAAACCCCCTTCCCTCTCGCTGGCTCCCTGACGTGGCCGCGAGAAATGTTGAAAAAAATATCGTCTTATAGAATGTCTTTGCTCGATATTTCCTACTCTCGTTTTCGAGGCACTCGATGACTTCCAGTCAAATCTGACAATGAGTTAAAGTTAACCATACGTGCTTTGGAGAAGAAAGAACAGACTCTTCTATTCAAATGCCCATGACCTAGATAAATAAGACGGACTTACGAAAATAGCTGAGTTCGACTTTCCGAAAGTACGACTGACCTGCCTAATAAACATGCCTCGGAGTTTTCCTAAATAATAATTAGATAGTACAGTCTATTATATTAGCTTCTTTCGTTTTTTTTGTATAATAAAAAGTAGAATCGGATAATTGAAGAATATTTTGCATAGAAAATGTATATAATTTTTCGACTTATTGTTAATTAAAATGTATTATTTTGGAGTAAAAAAATTCCTCGCGAAATAAAACAAGCAAGTAAAAAAATGAAGAAAATAGCAAAAGTGTAAAAGAATGAAGTTTAAATAAATAATATATGTAAGCATTTGTATAATCTTGTTTATACTGTGGTGTTTCGCTTTCCAATTCTTTCAGGTACATTGACACGAAATGTAATATTGGCGCGAGGTTGAAGGCCAATCAATTCAACGCAAATTCGCGCACCATTTTTGGTTGAACAATTGATTCATAATATCATCGCAGTGAATCTAATAATTTGCAACACTCGCGGTTTAGATGACGTTGCTATAGAGAGCAATATTCTATACTGTATATAAAAAGGGTCCGATAATAATTGTTAGATCTATTTTCTCGTTAAGAATTATTCAAATTACTTTGCGAGTTGAGAAATTATTAACAAGCTTCTTTTTAAACTTTCATAATTGAGATGACTCATTCGTCGCGGCATTTTAAGATTCTAAGCAGATTTCAATAAAACGGATGTCGTTATATAATCACACTCGGCTTCTCAAAATGAACTTATATTGTACTCAGAGGCATATCCGCTATATATGTGATAGATAAAGAAATATACGATCCAATCTGAGAAGCAATAAGAGGAGGTTAAGGGACACATAACTTCTTGAGAAGAAACTGAGATAAAGAAAGACATTATCTTTCTAACAACTTGTCATGATTCATCCCGAAAGGCATGCATATACAATACATTGATTATATATTTCAATATAAACAGAGCCAAGAAAAATATCAATAACAAAATTTAATATCCTAGCTAACACATTAATTTATACTATTTAATTTATTTTAAACAATTTATAAATATGTCAATAAAAAATATGCATAACACACGATTTTGAGCATAATAGATTAATAAAAAAAATATCAAACAAATAATTAAGCTTGCACAATATTATTATATTTTTAATGCAAATGCATTTTAAAAATACTTGAGTTTTGGAAAAAGACAACATAAATTTTTTATTTCTATATAAAATTAAAAATAATTGTTTAAAAATGTTTTTATTTATTTTCTCAATATATTATATTTTTTTAAAAAAGTTCTATTTTATATATAAAAATATACATATGTGTAGAGATATTTTTATAATTAAATTGTAGTTAATTTTTCTGTAGCAAATATGGGAAATTGGAAAATACGTTTTTCAAATATTGCGAAAAATGAATAAAAATTATATCAATAAATGAAAACTTAACGAAGTTGTTTCCCATCCACTTTTTTCGTCGACTGAATCAAAAATATATTGTCAAATTTACTGTCGCCTGTCGTTGGGATAATATTGATTCGACAACACGCAAGCGTACACACAGCCCTAATAAAATTAGGTCAAGCTCTTCGGTTATTCGGTTATAGACATGGAAGAGTCGATAGTAGCTGAAAATATGGATCGCGAAAGTAGGTCGCTATGAAAAAACTTTGATCTTTACAGAATCTTTGATTCTGAATCAGGAATATGTAAGAATCTCTGTAATTTAAGGACTTACTGAATATTAAAATCGATTTAACCGAGAATATATATTTCCTCGGAAAACAAGATGTAAAAGTGTATAAAAACTATCGAAATATATGTATACTTGTCAAAATATTGCGGCTAATAATCAGCTGTTGTCCGAAAACTGTATATCGCGAATAAGTCCGGCGAAGTATCACGCGAATCAAAGCTGCAAGTAGTAAACGCCCGGCTTAGTCAGACACGAGAGATTTCGTCTCGCCGCGACTTCGTCGACGCTCCTTATCTTACTTATTTCTTGCGCGCGTACGCATCGATTCGTGTTACGTCAACAAAGATGCTTGTACGTGACCCGATCCCCTCTCATTCATCAACCTAGAGATCATCTTTCATACTAAATTCTGTTAGTGTGTGTTTTTTAAATCATTATAAAATTTATAAACCAGAAACGAATGCGCATGCAGACACGTTAATCCGCGTGTTATCAAAGTGCAAATGTATACTATTAAAAAAATTTAAGTGTGAGAACAATTAATAATGTTTAGAGGGTGTAGTCCGATTTAAAATATTTATTTACTTGTTTATTTATTTAGAGAAAAAAGAGAGAGAAACGCAAGAAATTATTTCTTTCGATAATTTTTTTAAGGAAAAATCTACTCTTGATTCATCATTAAGCGCATCTGGTCATTATAATTCTATATGTAAATGTATATATTCTATATGTAAACATATATATATATATATAAAATATACACGTATATTTATTAAAATTTATCTTAATTATTAAACTGGAGTTTTTGCTTTTTGATGGATGATTTACCTACGATGATGTCGGGTACAAAAACATAATACACGTGTCATTATATAGAGCTACTGTACACATCCGCGGGGCAAATGCGAAATGATTCGAGACTGAACTTAATGACGCGCTAGCATCTTTCGCGCGTAATTGAGATGAATCGTGCTTGGTTCGACGTCTTGATTAAACGCAGCAGACGTTCAATTAGTCTGGATCTTGATTATTAAATCTGCTAATTTATTTCGATTCCTTAACATAACTTTCTTTAACTTTGCGAAATAATATGTAATCCAATAAAGCTCACGAAATTCAATAATTACGTTAGATTGCAGCCTATAAATAATTTAATTGTCGAAAACAATCTAATACGTGTTATATCTAACAATAAATAAAAGCGAAAATAGAATAAAGATGAATGCGAAAGAATGGTTTTTGTTATTTAATAATAATTAATTGTGTATTTTTAAATTTAACGATTGTCAAATTTATGTAAATTTTTATTTATTTAAACTCAATATCGTCATTATTTTGATTTTGCAATTTCTCGTATCAATCACTGTAGAATCGTCACTATACACGATTAAACATAATGTGATTTCTAAATATTAAACAAATTTTTTTAATAAATTACTCAATACGACGCAGCTGAAATAGACGATGCAGCTAAAAGTCGACGCAATACTAAATAAAAATTATGGTAGCAGCTGCAAACGGGCTAAAACCAATCTAGACGTGCTTTTTTTCTCATCAGTGTACGAGTCCTTCGTGGACTACATGCTATTCTTTGGCTTCGGCAAAAACGCTGATAAATCAATCGAGAAAGAAACAAATTCCTTACCTGAATCAGGGACGGCCTTTCATTTTATACTGCTAACTTATATCACGTGTGTTTGTAATTCGCAGACAGATGATTAGCATTGATAATAAACCACAGTGTAGAATACGGCATAAGATATTCATCCTTACTTTGCGCTCTTTCTGTAAAAGATAAATAATTGATATTATTTATTATATAAATTTTAATTTATTATTTTATTTTAATTAATTAATTTAATTATTTAAATTATTAAATAAATTAAATTAAATTAATAAATTTTATAAAAAAGGAACTTGTTTCATAAAATCGTATTACATATAATCATACACTTTTTATTTATCTTTAAAATGTCAAAAGTATTCAATATCTTTATAAAAATAGAACGGAAGCTTTTTAAAGGTCTATCATTTTTATCGCTAAGTAAATGATAAAAAAATTCGCCCAACGTGGGGCTCGAACCCACGACCCTGAGATTAAGAGTCTCATGCTCTACCGACTGAGCTAGCCGGGCTTGCTTAATACTCCTTTCTAAAAGTCTTTTGAACTGAAAATAAATTAGTTAAATATGAATTATAATTATTGTGAAAATTTTTTGTACATCAAGTTTGTTTTAAACGATCTATAATGTTTGATAAAATTTAAAATAAAACTTTATATATATAATAGATATTTTATTCCTTCAAATATTTCTTCTGATATACGACATACACGGATTCTGTTCCGTGAATTTTGTTGCAAATTATAAATTACCAAAAACAGCCTTATAATATATCAATGTTAATACGCGATTATCATATATACGAAAATCTGCAGAAAAACATCACACAATAACAATAATATATGTCTCTACACAGGCGTCAATTTTTTTTCACATTGTTTATACCTTTACAATTACATACATATACATGATCAAGAGCATCAGAGAATGTTGAAGAAAAATACACATATTTTAACTTACACTCGATATTCCAATGGAAAGAAAATTTACTTGAATTTTCTCAGTTCCTCCCCGAGTATCTCCATGCAGATTCCTTCCTGAAATCAAGAAAAACACGCTATAAAATCCCCATCGATTCTGTTTCTTTTTCTTTACGCGTATGTACGTACATATACGTAACGAACGAAATTGAATTTGCCTTTTGAAGTTTGTCGCGAAAGCAAGATTCCGCGACTATGCGCGACCTAGCGGCGACCGCGTGAGATAGGATCGATATATCTCGATCGATAGAGTCGACTCGCGCGACATGTGTCGCCGATAGATGTTCGAAGCGAGACGTCGCACGCGGAAACGGAAATTATTGCTTCGATAGGTACGTTGTTGGTTCGTCAGTCGTTTCGAAATTCGTATCGGCGATAGAACACGTGGTTCGCGATAACCTTTCTTCGTTGGCTCCCGGCTACGTGGTTCTCTCTTTCTGCGCAAATGATATTTTATTTGCGCGATATAGATAAATAAAAGACGAAGATGCGCTCCGTGAAAGATTCGGAGGACGAGACAGAACAGAAAACAGGTTTGTATCGTTCACTTCTCTTCGCGAGAGACGTCGCGTCTGGAGCGATTTTTTTATTCCAACGGCCGATTCGGCATCGTTTCATCGTCATTGTCCGATCCGATCCAATATAAATGTAATTGCAAATGAATTTTCTCTATTCATCTTTTATTCTTGTCTTTCTTAACGATTTTCTTGGACCTTTGTCTGCAGATCGCCTAGGATCGTTATCAGTTGCTCGTTAAGGTATCTCGTAGATTCGAGAAACATTCTAAGATATATAATTGCTTGTTTTTCTCTCCTTTGACCTCTTGATCTCCTTTGACACTTTATTCTTTTTTTTCTTTTAACGATTTTCTTTAATCTTCATGCAGATTTTCCATCATTATCATTGCTTGCTAAAATATCTCGTCAATTCGAAAAATGTTTTTGAAGATTCTTTTTAACGACTTGCTTTTTTCCTCTTTAACTCATAATATATAATTGATTTGATTATTAATATCTGTGTTGTGTGCTATTAGTTTGCATGAGCATGTAGCTTCTACATTTAATTTTTTGATTAATTAGTGTCTTATTTAAACACAACAATGTATTTTTTAATAGATATTTCATATAAAGATAAAGAGCTAACTTTATTCATTACCTTCCTTATTTCATATAAAGTGTTGCTAAAATTCAAATTATATTATCTCAATTGTTACTTTTAGAATCTCTTGTTTTTATACTGTTATGATTAGTCTTAATTTAATTTTTTATTATTTTATATATTATCGCTGCAGGTCTGCAATCACAGAAGATTAACATCAACTCTACAGTGAACTCTCCATTACGCCGTAGTAGTAGAATAAAACATATCAAAAACTCACCCTCTCCTGATGACAATCAATCAATGGATGTTGACATTGTAGGAACACCTAAGAAAAGAGCTACAAGGAGCAGCTTGGCTGCTGTAACTACTGATACACCTACCAAAATTAACACTAGAGCAGCAAGGTATTGTTAATATATATATATATATATATATATATATAAAATTATATTTAATGGAATGCATGATATATGTTTCAAACTATTTGTTGTAATATGTTTTATTTGAAATAATTTTCAGTAAGCGTGTTATGCGTGCTGTTTCGGAGAGTAAGTCACCATTGCCAGTGGTTAGAACCACACGTAGAACAAGAGCTAGCTCCGTCGATCCAGAATCTTTATCCGATCAAAATAGAAGTCAACCTGGCACACCAGTTAAAACACATAAACAAATATTGTCAAATTCTCCAATTAAAAAAGAAGATGAAAAGAAGATTCGTATACCTTATGTACGATTGGATACTACAATAGCTGAGATTGATGAACTTACAAATTCAGGTAATTTCTTAAAATTGTTATCTCTCTCAACAGATAGATCTATGTATGTTTAAAACTACATGTGCACGTATTATAATTTAGTTTATCTAATATGTGTGTGTTTACAATTGCAAATTATGTAATGTTTATGTGGATAAAAATTAAAAACTAAATTAAAAAATTAATATTAAAATTTTTCAAATATATTTTATTAAAATATATGCAGGAAATTCAGATACTTCTCCGGATAAAGCATTACGTTCTCAAAAAGCCCACAAATTAACAAAAACAATGTATACATGAAGATAATGAAAAGGATAATAGTGGTAAGCATTCATAGAATTTTCAATATATATTCCAATATATAATCGATTTTTTGAAAAAGAGAAAAATGTTTTTGTCTTAATTACAATATATATATATATATATATATATTTACAGACAAAATTACATCTTCATTTGTCTCATTTATCTCGCCTGCTCCTTCAGAATCAGATGAAATAGTTCAATTATCAGAGGAAAGAGATAACATACATGATAAACATGTAGATGAGATAACAGCAGGTAGTGAAACTATTCCTGGTAAGTAAAGCTGAAAATTTATTTTCCTTATCTTTGAATATTATAATTATTAGTCTCTTTAATAAATATATTATGTCTATCACATTTCAAATTATTTATATTAGATATTTATTGCAATTATATTTAAATTTTTATTAATTTATATAAAATAGGGTACAAATTAAAATTTATATATTTTTTATATTTACAATAGTTCGAGAATGCAAAGATAAAGAAGATCTATTGTCTAATGAAGATACAACTGATGAGGTCTCTACCAAGGATAATTTTTCAAATCTTAGTAATAAAAAGAATACAAACTCGAGACAATTAACAAAAATTCACCAGAAATAGAAAAATCATTACAAAACATACATTGTGAACTACCACCGGCCACAAAGAAAGTAATGAAGATTAAGCTTGATGTAGAGTCATCAGATACTTCTACTGAAGATCAAAAAGGAAGTCCAAGTAACAAGGAAAATCAAATTCTGAATATTATTAATGATACGTCGATAGAAATCAACACACAGCCTATTACCAATGAGGCATCATCAAGTACGAAATGTTTGACTCCAATGTGTGCGAATAAATCATTAAGTAAGAAGGAAACTAAATTTACAAAAATGAGTCAAGCTTAAATAAACGACGTCACTCGAAAGAATCAATAGAAACTACTATGAAACATGACATCCTCTTCGAAGAAGATAACATTAAAGAAAAGATGGATATTTCTGCATCTAATGAATCAAATGAGGATAATTCAGCAATTCAAAATACTCAACCACTTAATGAAACAGAAGTTGAATATGTCACAAGTATATCACCTAAAAGAGCAGAAAGAAAACATATGTGGTTGAAAAACTCCGCAAAAGAAAACTTAAACCGGAAAAGTACAAATGATATAGATGATCATATAGAGAAAGAAAAAGAGAATCTGCAATTGGAGAATCAGAAAAATACAAATGCGAATACCGATCCTGACGTTAGTACTAATTTGTTACATGATACTTCTAGTGATAACTCGAACAAAAAAAATTGAGAAGGAAATTGATATTGAAACTATCTCGAGCCCTCTGTTATCGAAAGAATCGGAAAATGAAAGTGAAATTGAATGTGATCTTGTTTTGGTGAACAAGAAGGCATGGTTGGCTGCTGAAAATATAAAAGCGGCAAAAGAAGCAGAGTCTTTTGAATATGATTCCGATGATACCGTGTTATTAAAGAGCCAATTAGACGCAAGGACAACGAATTATGATGTTAAACAATTGGCCACGATAAATGAAGAAGGAAGTCGTGATAAAAATCGTTGACCATGATGGAGGACAAAAAAATTGATTATGATAATAAAGCACTTAATTTTCCTAAAGATAAAAAAAGATGTGTGCTTAAAAAACGTGAGAATTCTTTTAGCAGTTCGGAAGATTTAGCCGCAGCTGTAAATAAATCTTTAACCGAGTATAAAGCAAATAAAAGTTTAAATAAAAGTGGTGATCGATCTGTTTCTAAATTAAACAAATCAGGACAAACTGTTGCAAAAATGACGGAACGATCATTTAAAACACATGATGAACCAGATGAACAAATTGAAGATGATACAAATGAATTAAACAGAAGCTCGCAAATAAATAAGAAAAATACATATTTATCAAAATCGATGGAAAGAAGAAAATCATTGAATAAATCTTCAACAAAAGATACACCTTTAAAGCAAGTAGATATGCAAAATATTTCTATAAATAAATCTCAATTAGATCATTCAAAGAAAAAACCAGATAACAAGGATACAGATTTAAAAAAAAAATTAAATAAGAAGCGTTCCTTGAATAAATCACAAAATAAAGATGAAAACGCAAGCAAACCTGAAGAACAAAACTCTTCAAATTCAATAAACACTAAGACATCAACAGAAGTAAATGATGATGAAAGCGATGATAGTGAAGTAGTTGTATCAGTTATGGATTTTGGATGTAAAAATTATTTTAAAAGAATGCACAAGAGCCCTGTGAAAGCGAGTTTGATATCAACTCCTGATAAGATGTTGGATAACAGTGATGAAGATGAATCTAAAAGTCCAAAACTTGTAATGATAAATAGTGATACTGAAACTAGTACATCGACACATTCTAACTCGGATATCAAGAGAGAATATAATCTAGATGGTGTAGAAGAAAAATTTTCTGATGATAATATACCAGGTGATGAATGCCGAGCTTCAGAATCGGAAGATTCAGATCCTGATGACAACGGTTCAGATCTCGCAGATTTCATAGTTAATGATAATGAAATAGAAAAAAAAGAGAACAATGACGATGACGATGAGGAAGAAAAAGAGGAGAGTAATAATGAAGGAGAAAAAGAAGAAAATATAGAAGAAATCAGAGATGTAGAAGAAGAAAACGAAGATTTAAAAGAAGGAGAAGACGAAGGCGAAAACGAAGGAGAAGACGAAGGAGAAGATGAAGGAGAAGACGAAGATGCAGAAGAAGAGCAATCAGAAGATGCAGAAGAAGAGCAATCAGAAGATGCAGAAGAGAAAAAAGAAGAAGCTGGAGATGCAGAGGAAGAAGTAGATGATGAAAGCGAAAATGAGCAAAATGTAAAAGAAAAGGATAAAGTTGCAAAGAAAAAGAAAATAGACAAGAAATCCAATATGGCGAAAAATAAAACTATTGTATTGGATACATCAAATTCAGATTCATCGATTAAGAACAAATCTATGCAAAAAAATGAAGATATTTTATTGGATACATCGTCTAACTTGTCAGCTAAGAAGAAAAAGAAATCAGAAGTACAATTTTCAAAAAATGTAAAAGTACAAAAATTGATAGAGCAAATAAAAGCTGAAGAACGTCAACACTCACATGAAAATGAATTATTAAAACATAGTACCCCAAAATTGGACACTTACAAGAAATTCGAATTTTATGAAACGCTACTTGAAGAAAATTTGGAAATTGAGGATACCAACAAGTCAGGTAATACAAAAACAATACAAAATACTTCGCTTAAGAAAAAGGAATTAGAGATCAAAGATAGAGAGAGCAAAAGAACAGAGGAAATACACAAAAAAGCAGAAGCTGAGCTTAATGAGCAAAAATGCTACAATGTAAGACTAGCAGAAGAAAAAAAATATGATACTTTCGAATATTGGCGCTTCAAGAATTTTGGAATATCTGGAATAAATTGCACTGGATTGAATGCCCCTAATACTGAATCACCTAAAACCTCCTTTTTCCAAAGCAATAGATGCCTCGGAAAAAAAAAATTAAATGAAAGTGCACCAGAATTAGGAGCAGATATATTAAAGAAAACATCCGTTAAACAGACGAAACATATTGCGCAAACTGAAACAAAATTGGAAAGTGATGAGAAGGAAATATCTAATCTTGTAACTCCACTTAATGATGAGACTGTACAGAAATCTGATCGAAAGAAACAAAAGAAACGTAAGACATCAGTAAATGACATTTCGGGCGAAAATATTATCGATTTACCCTTAATTCAAGCTATGAGGGAATCAGAAGTTCCTAAGAAGAAAAAATATACTAAGCTTGCAACTGATATAATTGTAGAAGACGACACTTGCAAAGATACGCACCAAATTAATGAAAAAGAGAAGAAACCGAAGAAGAGGAAATTGCAAATAATAGAACAAAGCGAAAATGTAAATGAAGTTGATGTACTTCAAAAGAATATTCGCAAAAACACGACAAAGTTTATACAACACAAGGATCAAAATTATAAAGCTAAAGATGTGAAAGTAGATTTAACTGACTACCGTGGTTCTTACCCTATCAATGAGCAAATTAAACCGCCAAAAATGGCGGAAAATCAAGAACTGATCATGGAAAAGTTATTCAGGGAGATGAAGGAAGAAGAAAAGAAAAAAACTTCGCAGTTGGAAGTTGGAACTTCAACATTAAAATCCGATCAAAATCCGTCATCTGATGAATCCGAAAACACTGCTTTTGCTAAAGCATGGGATAATGCATTACAAATTACACATGATTACCTGCTCTTTAAAGCTAACGATAAGAAAGCATTAAAGAAAAAACGAGAGGATGACAAAAATACGATTCAGAAGCAGCGAGTTTTGAAAAGCCCTGATAAGAAACAAAGGAAACAAGTAATCGAGAAGAACGACTGTTTACCATCGACAAGTAGAGTGAAACGACTTTCGGATGACGTGCTTGAAAATCTTCCGGATCAGCCCATGAAAGCGAAAAAGAAACAAAAAATTTCGCAAAGTCAGGAACGGATTACATCATCAGGACACAGCTCGGGTGTGATGACTGTGAAGGATGATAAGAATTCCTTTACGTTGAGCACGTCTGGTAGCACCACGAAATTCACTGTAGTAGACCTATCAAAGACTAAGAAATTATCAAGTTCCAAAGCAGCAGCTTCCTTCAGAGAACGATTGCTCGCTAGGAATAGTGAACCTGTTTCAGCGTATATGATGTATCTTGAAAAGCAGAAGGCAACTGCGAATAGCCGATCTTCTCGTAAGGCGTTTTAAGTAAACATATTATTTGAGTTTTCTTAATTTTCTTATTTTTATAATTTTTATTTCTTAACTTTCTTAATTTTTCTTAAAAAAAAGTAGTGGTGTCAAGAAGTAATACTGCATTTTTTAATAGTTTCTATGTGTTATAAGTTAATATTATTTTAGCATTTAATATATCTCTTCATGGTTTATTTTTTTTTGTAAAAGATTCGTTTTTTCTGTATTCATATGAAGTATGTTACAACAAATAAATGTTCTGCAAATTATTTGACAATTTTTTTCAAACATCAAAATACATAATACAAAAGAGGTGAAGAATATAAAATATTTATCAACGATACTTATTTGTACAATATATCCAAACTGATATACAGCCATGAGATGATTCTTTGCACATTTGTATCCAATATTGACAAGATCGATTTCTTTTTTCTTTATAGGTTGCTTAATAGTCAAAATAGAGCAAGTTTTCTTCTAAGCTCGTATGACAACGTTTGGTGATATTTCTGTCTTGATATTCAAGAAACAAGCGCCGTTTGCATTATTCTGTCCACCAAATATCACGCATATGAGACCGTTTATTGCACTATGCTGCCAAAGTTTATGGCTCCATTTATCTACAGTGCGCAACGTTTTCTCTATCTGCTCGTCTTTTAATTGTTCTTCTTTAATTTTTACGTGACATAACACGAAAGCGTGTTCCATCGCAATTTCTGTTGTTCGACCTATAGTGTGTTTATCGTTATCTGCTATTACAAGGCGTACCTGTAATCATTGCAATAAATCAACATTAAATAATTATACAAAATTATATAAAAATTATTAAAAATTAAATAATTGCAAATTCATAGTTATTTTATAATTAATTTCACTTTATAGTTATTTATTATTGTTGTCTCTTTGTTTTATATGTGCTTAGTTCTTTAATACATTTGTCCATAAATATTTAATATCGTATACTAACTTGATCGTCCTTTGCGAAATTTTCATCATCCATGATATTAAGAGTAGAATTCATCAAATACTTGGAATATTCCGACATTATTTCATTGGTACCTACGATGGCGGCGGTGTTTTTATTTTTGTTATATGACTAAATATCGATGTGGCGTATTTTTTCATTTCCGTTTTCAGCAATGTCCGTTGTGATTTTTCTTTATCCGTCTCTTCCATTCTCATATGACGATCACCGAGCAATACTGCGTCCCCGTAATCGATGCTATTCGCTAATTTTAATTTGACCAATTTCATAGAAGCCTGCGAATCCTCTGCCGAACAATGACCAGCTTTACTGTCTTGGATACTCTCTCCGAGAAACTCGCGCGCCAAGATCTGTAATTTCGTTTTTCTATACCTGTGTAAAAAAAATATATATATATATATATATATAAATCAAGTAAAATTATATATATTATTTTATAATATATAATATAAACAAATAAATGCACAAGATATATTCTATAACATGTGATATTCCACACAGAATACCTGTTTCCCGTAAGATTGAATATTACAGAAGTGTCAATGATATAAGGATGCATCATTTTTAACGTGTGCAAATCAGAATTTAAGCTTTGTCCTACAAGAATCGCGTCCGCAGGAAGTAACGTTCTCAACGCTTGCTGAACATCGTGCAATGTAACTGTGACATCTTGCAACATTTCTTCGGTAATACCACTGTACCGAGTTAGATAATTTGTTATATTGTTCTCGGGTTTCACCAGACTGTCATAAATAATCTGTCAAAGATTAAAACACATAGATTTACGTATATACTGTGTTAAATTAATATACAAATATTTAATAGTACTTACTTTCATATTTTCGTTCACGATACTGATTCTAGTAAGTTCTAGATTACCGCTTGTTGTCTGACACATTTCACAATCTAAACCAAACATTGGTGATGTTGCTGTGGCCTCTTCATAAACATCTTTTGTCAATAAGTATGAACCATATCTAAAATCAAATTGTGATTATATTACAATCTAATTATGCAATATAAAAATTGTATATATATATATATATATATATAATAAGAAATAACTTCTCACCTTTCTGCTAATATTCCTTTTAGAGGTACAGGATAATTTTCCTCTACCATCTGTGATAATGATAAAAGCAACTTTGTTCTACAAAATTTGTCAGTAGATGGTAAATTTATATTATGCTTATTCTTCACATCTGTGTTATTTGGTAAATGCATTGGGAAAGCGCTTCTCAACAACTTTATGACATTTCCATTTGTTTGTAAAGCAGTTTCCACAGAGCCATATCCTGAAAAATTACATGATTATCTTTTATAATTATATCGCAAAATAGATAAACTTTATAATTATTATACTCTAAAAATATTTAATTAAATGTCTTTACTTTGTACTTGTAAAATAAACTTAAAGAGAAATTTCTTTTAGTAAAAGAATCAGATATATTTTACTTTTATGTAAATATAAAATGTGTATATATAATTGTGTACATATACATACGTCTAATTAATTTATCACTTTGAGTTCCTGTTAAAGGAACAACCACAAGTTCCTCCATTATAGATGCTCCATAAACAGTAGGTGTTACTACCTCTAAATGGTACTTCAAATTATTTGCTATGTGTGGAAGCATACTCTCATAAGCCACGAAATGATATGAAGACAAGCCTTCAATCACAAAAACTACAGTGTGGCTTACCTTTAAGAAAAATTGTTTACTTTAAATCACTGAATCATGAAATTTAGATTATCTCTAAAATAAAGCATTACTTTTAAAAATATAATATAATATAATACTTACTCTGTTGTACTTTTCAAGTTGACACCATCTGCCTGGTAAATAAGGAGAATGATGTCCAAGCAGTGAATATAGCAGAAGGTGCTGTACATCGCTAAGAAATATTGGTATTCTCGTCTTCATATGTCCAATATCTAGAGTAGCATTTTCACCGACTGCTTTAAGACTAATCCTTGGAACTGCTTGAAGCTTTTTTTTACGTTGTCTAAGTTCTTGCTTCAACTTTACATATTCTTCGCAATCGTTCAATCTGTAAAAAAACGAATTATATCTCTAATTATATTGCTCATAATATATATAAATATATTGCTCATAAATCAACTAAAATACCTAGGCTTTTTAATATTAACCCGTTGTGACTCTGATTCATGACAATCTTTCTTCTCTCCACAAGTTTCTGAAGATGTATCATCTAAATCCTTATAAGAGCGTTTATGATTGGAATTTTCTCCCATTATACTATTATTTGGATTAAATCTATTAGTGGTAATTAATGTCTGAAAATAATTTCAAAATGTGTTAATTAAAAATTTTTATTTCAAATTATTTGATTAAATGTTATCTTAATATTCCATTAGAATTAAATATAAACCTGTTTCAAAGCCTGCAATTTTGATTCCTTGTCTTTGTCATTGAGTTTTGCAATTTCCAAAAATGCTGCTATCTTTGCTTTCTTTTTTTCTATTCTCTGTAATTGTTTTGTTGTAAATTTCTCCATAATTTAGTACTTTGTTGTATTGAAACAATCTATAACCTGTAGGAAAAAAAAATTTTATATTCATTTAATGACACATATTTGATATATTATACTGTCTTTTCAGAATTGACAAAAATACTTCACATATATTATACCTTTCCAGTACTAAGTATGTGTTATAAACAATTTTTTTATTCCAAATAGTTCTCTTAATTGACATAATGTATCTCTTAATACAAGTAAATTAATACATTAGATTTCAAATAAACTTTTCAAATAAATTTGAATTGATGATTTTAATCATCTCTACTAAAGAATCTCATTCAATGTTGACTTCTGTGAAAGGCAATAAAATTTGTAATCGTGACATAATTTAAAAAAATACTACTTCATTATTTTTTCACAATCACTTAGTTACTATTATTAAATATTACAGCATTTGCTACATGTATTGTCATATAATTTATCAATAAAGTTACGTAATTTGACTGGAACAATCTATAGATTCATATTTTGTAAAAAATTGAAATATTGAGTATAATTATATTACTACATTTCTAATAATTCACTGTATTAATTAATAATAGAACAGACTATCGTAAAAAAATATTTTATATTATAAATTTAGTATTACTTATATTATAAAACATATTGTAAAAAAAATAATTTAAAAATCTCTTAAATCTATATCAATCGTTTTAATAAATTAATATTACCTGTTTGAGAAAATTCAGCATTTTTTATTCCGATTTAATAAAGTAATAACATTAATAATATAATATTATAATATAAACATTATTTCGCAACACGTGTAAACGTACAGAAACAAGAAATGTGAGTAAATTTTAGATTGATTCAGGTTAGGTTGCATTGTTGCTAGGGCAAATGTTTTGTACCAATCGAATGTTTAAAATATACTAGATTGAATCTAAATTTGGTTCCTTTTACATGCATTCCATTTGACGCTTCAAGAATTTGAAGCGTTTGATTAACCAATCAGGATAAAGGACCAAAAATTTCTTTATTCCGATTCGACGATCAAATGCTTTGAAATTTGTTTAGAGTCTCGAATATACTCATAATTATGATTTCCCATCATTGTTAATTCATAGGATAGAAGCAGACGACAGTAGCAGATAGACATTTCACATGTGTAGTTGTTAGATATTTTTTCGAAAACTAAAGAATAATTACACTGTTAAAGAAATAATAATAACAATGTCCGTGAATACCTCGCATACAGAAAAAGAATTGGATTTGAGTAATGCTGGCCGTGGTGTCTGGCTTGTCAAAGTGCCGAAATATATAGCTAACAAATGGGAAAAGGCACCTGGCAATATCGAAGTTGGCAAATTAAAGATTACGAAGTAAGTTTGTCTGTATTAAAAAAGTACATCCTGTCAAAACAAATACAATGATACAATTGTATAAATATATGTGAAATTTCAATATTTAAATCTCTATACTCTATTCACATCTTTTTAGAATATTTTTATAATTTTTTTTTTATTAAAACGTACATGCATAAATGTATTGATGTTTACTTATATTTTTCAAAACATTTTTTTAATATATATAAAATGGAAGCAGTTTCATTATATTTGTACAATCTACTTTATTTTGAAAAATAATTGTATAAATATTCTTGTTATTTTATTCTTGCCTCTATATATCTTGTTCAGAAATCCTGGACAGAAAGCTGAAGTATCTCTCAAACTGTCAGAAGCTGTTTTGGCTCTGAAAGAATCTGGAGAAGAGGAAATACCGAAACAACATAGGCTAGATGTTACGACAGTTACTAGACAAATGCTAGGAGTATTTTCTCATGTTACACGTAAGTTTGATATTATTTTAAATTTGATATATTTCTAGCAATCTCTATTAATTTTTACAGCATCCACAAGCTCAGATGCAATTGTTCCAGAAACAGAGAAACTTTTTATGGAAGGAAGGATTGTACAAAAATTAGAATGCAGACCATATGGTATATTATTTCTGTATACAAAGCATGTATTCACAAAGAGAGATTTGTTTTTTAAAAACATTTTCTGCTAAATTTTTTTTAGCCGATAATTGTTACATGAAACTGAAGCTAGAGAGTATCAAAAGGGCTTCTGTACCACAAAGACAAGTTCAACAATTAGATAGAGTTGTACAGAATTTCAAGCCAGTATCTGATCACAAACACAATGTGAGCATTATTCCTTGACACTTTTTAATAGATTGAATTGATTTTTCATGGATAACACTTTACAGATTGAATATGCTGAAAAGAAGAAAGCAGAAGGAAAGAAAATGAGGGATGATAGAAATGCTGTGCAAGATATGCTTTTTGCAGCGTTTGAGAAACATCAATATTACAATATAAGAGATCTTGTTAAGATTACAAGACAACCTATTGTAAATATATCTTATTTATTCATACAATATTTGAATACATCATTTTATGTATATTTAAAATTTTTCACATATATTTTAGGTTTATCTAAAAGAAATACTCAATGAAGTTTGTAACTATAATTTAAAAAATCCACATAGAAACATGTGGGAATTGAAACCAGAATATCGACATTACAAGGAAGAGGAAAAATCTACAGAGAACACCTCAAAGAAAGGGAACGAATCCGAAGATGATTGATATTTTTCTTATTTATATATATTATACACATATATCTGATTAATAATGAAATTTATCGAATTTTTAAAAATATAATTGTTATAAGTTTCCAGCAATGTAATATGATTTATAATTATTTCTCAATTCATGCTTAAAAGAAAATTATGTACATTTACATAATAATTAGAAAAATGTCTCCCTTAAGTCCCAAAAGTCATTTGATGGATAGTTAATTGCTTCAGAAGATAAAAATCAAGCATATTTTGTACCTTAGAACATTATAAGAAATTTTTTGGTCGATTTTTGCATCTTTAAAGATTTGGAAATGCTTGAAACATCAACATGGGATGACAGCCACATAAAACTTTAATCTCCACTGCTTCATTGGCAGGGATGAACAGAACAGAACCGCGAGAAAAGATCTTGGAAGATATTTCTGCTTTACCGCTTACTATTAGCAGAATACTGGCCGAGCTCCTCGATTTTAAATTGTGAGATGGTCGTCCAGGTGGTAGCTATATTTAATATAAGTATATACACATACATTTTGATAAAATATACAATCACTTATAATCACAAGATGAATGAGACATCAAAACTCACAGTAATCTTTGCTACTGCAAACTCTGAGACTGGTGGACGAAAAACCTCGGTGAACACATCTTCTCGGAATGGTTGAATCTTGTTGGCAGAAGCTGACTTACATTCGAACGACATTATTTCTATTAAAATTGGCACATTTTTCGGCTTTGGTGTAAGTCCAGCTCTTATCACATTGTCTGAACATGCCATACACTCTATGCAATCTAAAAATTAAAAATTTAATAAATTATATTTTTATATTTAAGTAAGTGTATACACACACACACATATAATAAATTTTACAAAATAATTTACCGCCTGAAAGATATGCATGAGGTATGTTTGGTCCAATATACATGGATTCGCCTGGCTGCATTGTTACATAATTGAACAGATATATCGCAAAACACCCTACATCTCCAGGATAATCTGCATATAGGCGCTTTAATAAATTGGCTTTATCCACTGCCTATAAGAATCATCTAAGAGCAAACTGAATATGATTATATTTTTCTTATAAAAATTTCTTCCAATAAGAATGCAAAAATATACAGAACATTCACTTAAATCATGTTACAATCATTAAAGAAAAATTTATAAAAAAATGTTTTATTTTTATATAAAATTTTCATATCATGATTTATTGAACATTCCCATATGTAGAAATGTATACCTGTATTGTGTAATCTGTCTATCAAGTTTTTCAATTGTCGTGCCACTCATTGGAATCACAGGTCATGAGACTGTAGAAAATTGTTGCAAAGCATCACCCATCATAGAATCGGTTGCTTGAGATAAACGACGAACATTGGTTTCTCCTATCACAGAAAGTAACTCCGGTATATTATTTAGATAATCATTTATTTCATTAATTGGACGGAATCCACAAAGTGCTTCAAAAGGGGTCAGAGCTATCGCTAATTCCGGTTTATGATTCGGATCTTTAGATATTCGGATACAATTCATGCAGTTCTTTTGCCTTCTCCTGAAAAAAAAAACGCATAAATCAATCAATACACTATTCTTATAGTTGATAAGAAAGTCTTTTTACCTTATTTGGATGCACTTGAATAGACAAAGCTTTATTTATAGACAAGACCTTAAAGAGAAAAGGCAAGTTAGGGCCAAACATTTGTATTGTATCTCTACCTAAACCTCAGTATTCTCTTGAATATATGTTGCAAGGAGACATTTGTGTCTTTGAGATACGATGGACCATTCTCGTGAATCCCATCCATAGTTCTGCATAAGCCTTTTTCTCATCCACTACATAATCAGCATTAGCTGATTTCATCAAAGTTGCAACAATACTGTCCATACCATGTTTTCCCCAATCGTACGTCTGAATTGCACATTTGAGTTCCATCTTAAAGATATATCTATATAACAAGAAACAAAATCAATTATAAATATTTATTATAAACGCATTTGCAATAAGTATTATAAGAAATAAAATTATTTTCTAAAATAAAATTTATATAAAAAGCTAAAAAGATAAATTCAATGCATATATAATATCATGAAACTGAATAAAAAGTTCTTAACATAGGTTATAACATTTATCTTGTCAGAGTTATAAGAAATTTTATTTAATTATATACAATAAGAAATATATAATATGATCTCGATACATACAGAAATGATATTGAATATTCTTTTTATTATAGACAATTTCTTCAATTTTATACAATTCTTCTTAATTTCTGCATTTTATTTGTGTATTTAATAGATATTTTCTACTTATTTTCAATTTTTATTTGTTATTATTACTTATTCTTCACATTTGTATTAGTAACATATATACATAACAGTATTTTAACAAAATTCAGAGAATTGAAATTTAGAGCTGAGAAGTTTATTGGTTCATCCTATTTTTTTATCCATTTTTCATTAATTTAATCATAAATCTTGTTTGATAAACTACTATATATACACATATATTTGCGTATTGAAAAAAGATAAGATAAAAATCTTTACATAAATAATAATATCTAAACACACAAAAATGAATATATCTCACTCTATACTAATTATACATTTTTTTACATAATTTAGTGATTAATATATAATATATATATTTCATATAATGTATGTTGCAAAAATTCTTAACCCTCTCTTTTCCTTTTGCTTTTCTAACATTTTACATGCAAAATGATATAAAAAAGAAACGAGCAAATCGTAACTTAAATAAATACGTGCACGATATGGTCATACCTGTATTATCTAAGCCAAAGTTCATTTTATTACTTTGCGGCTTATCATTTCAATGTCATATTGTTTACATGTACGTGCTTCCTTTTGAAGATAAATCATAATTTTTTCCTTTCCAAATAATATTATGTTGCGATAAACTCATTTTGTAATATATGATCTGTACAAACACAGGAGGGATAAATATATTTATAATGAGAACTATTAAATATAAGTTATATTTTTTACTGATAATGCCTCCAACTCTCTCTCTCTCTCTTCTCTCTCCCTCTCTCTCTCTCTCTCTCTTTCTGTCTCTCACTTTCTCCGCTTTCTCTTTTATATATATCATCCAGAATGTAGAAAGAGAGAAAAAGACGAAAAAATTGAAAAATACAATTAATAATAAAATCCGTATCAGATTACAATATTGAAGATTGGAATTTGACTAATCAATTAAAAATTAAAATTTTTTTCTCATTAATTAAAAATTTCAATCTTCAGTCTCAAACTTCAATAATAGTCTGATATAGGCAAATTTTATATATAAAATTTTATTTTTTATATATGAATAAATATTTTTAATTGAATATTTCAGTCTGAATTCAGAATTGACCAATTCGATGACCAATCACATTCAACATCACATCGACCGATCACATCGAGGTACGATTAATCTTGTTCGACTTCTCCTCTATATATTTTTGTAGTTTATGCACGTTGGTGCAAGGAATGATTTCATCTTCGTTCTTTCTTCTTTATCGTTCGTCTCGCCACGAGGTGTGTGTAGCATTGCAGCATTGAATTAGATTTTTCTAAACGTTTAATATTCTTAATATCTGTACATAATAATTTGATTACATAGAATTAATAATTACGAATATTATTACAGTCGTGAGAGAAATCGCCTGCAAAAATGGTGGCTCAGAAAAAACAGGTAATTGCATTTATGCGTCCACGTGCTCGTTTTATGTAAATTTTCACAGTAAAATTTAACATATTTTTATTATATAAAATATAACGAATTCGTTATTTATATTATTTATGTTAAATATATGTCTTTGATTATACATATACAGTGAAAAATATTTAACTTTTTACAAATTTTTTTGTCTCTTAAAGATTATTAAATATATTTAATAAAATTTTATCATTTGGTTTTTACAGAAAAAGGCTCAAGAGAGCATCAACACCAGATTAGCACTCGTGATGAAATCTGGTAAATACGTTCTTGGTTATAAGCAAACTCTCAAGTCCCCCTTCGCCAAGGCAAAGCCAAGTTGGTCATCATCGCCAGTAACACACCACCATTGAGGTGAGACTGAGAAGTAGCACTCCTCTTGTAACAGCAATTGACACGTTAAATATGAATAGTTTTTCTTTAAAGTAATTAAAAATTGTAACATGTATTTAAGATGCAAATATTTAAATATAAGAAAATTTTTGTGCATATAAGAAATACTTGAGATGCTAAAGGAGGACTTATATTAATGATATAACTGTGTCAATTTGCTTATTGAAAATTAAATAGGAGTTCTATGGAGTAGTCTCCTGCCCTTGCTCGTAAGTGCACAGGGTATTATATTACAATTTTGTTCACCTTCTAAACATAGCAATCTGGATTTAACAGGAAGTCGGAAATTGAATACTATGCCATGTTGGCAAAGACTGGCGTACATCATTACACAGGAAACAACATTGAATTAGGAACAGCGTGTGGTAAATATTTCCGCGTCTGTACACTTTCGATCACAGATCCTGGCAATTCTGATATTATAAAATCGATGCCGACTGGTGATCAAGCATAATAAAATACTTTTTATTTAATAAATAATCTGAAAAATCTTAAAAAGATTATTTATTTTTATCCTTATTTATTGAAATACAATATCCTTATATTAAAACAAGCTTTTAAATTGTCAATTGTTATAAAATAATTAAAATTAGCATATATCCAGAAATTAGTAAAAAAAAAACTTGAAAATACAGTAATATATATTTAGTCTTTAATATGATAAAAAAAATAGATTATATATTTGCTTATATATAATGAAAAAGAATGGATTACATAGCTATATTACTACAATTATGTATCAACCAATTTTGCTCACACATTTTTCTTCCAAATGGTTTGGTTTATTACATTGACGACATATCTGCCCCTGTGCAGGACACGCAGACGCGATGTGATCTTTGCCACATCTGGAGCAATTGTTTATAAAGGGAATTTGACATTTCCATGAGAAATGATTGTCCTTGCCACACTTCGTACACAACTCGCCAAATGCTGGACAACGCGATTGAATATGACTTGTTCCACATTTAGTACAGTCATCTACGTATTTAATTTTGCAATACTCTGTCAAGTGATTTAACTGTTGACACTTGTTGCATTGTTTACCCCAAGCTGGACATCGATTTCGATTATGTTTTGAACCACATCGACTACATTCTATCATGATAGGTGTGGCAGAATTCTGTTTTGATATCTCCTTGTCATTTTCTTGTGTTTTTAAATCTTCACATTGTTTCCAAAACATAATAATATTGTTAAGATCTAATGATTGCAAATATGGTATCAAATTTTCTCCTTTATGATTGATGATAAGTGCAGCTTTTCCTGTGAAATGTTGAGTACTAATGTCCTGTATAATTTTCTCTTTTATAATACTTGCAGGATCAGGATAATTACATGCACTAGCAGCAAGCTGTAAGAACAAACATACAAATAATTATTCAAATTACATTTAGATATATAGTTAATATAATTTATGAACATACTTTTAAGTCATTTATATATTTATCAATATTATCTTCATCATCTTTTTTCTTATCTCCATATATGCAATAGATATCAAATTTCTTGATCAATACATTTATATCTTTTATGTTTTTATCATCATAGAAAGAAAATGTTCTATGAATTTCTTGACCAACAGGACCCATACGATTTAGAAGCATAAAACCCCACATTTGTTTTTTTGTCTCCGCTTTATCAATATTTTTCATAGAGGCAAGAAATTCATCCTTCCAAGAGAACCATGTTGTAATAAAATCATTTTTGTAATAAATTTAGATGGTACATTAACAGCTGTATTTGTAGATTCATCTTTTGGGAAAATCTGTTGATTTACATTGTCGGATTTTTGTCTCGTGAAACCAGATCTGTCAGATGGATTTGATTGTTCACTACATACAGCTTCTTCCATTTGAGCTTGTTCCATTGAAGAGGAATTTCCTACACAATATTTACATTATAAAGTAATTCCAAATTTGTTATCTCTATTTTGTGTATAATATTTAATTACCCATTCTTTTTTCTACAATCACTTCTTTGTTCAATATATTTGTATATTTTATTTGTTCATTTATTATATATGTTTTATTATTTATTATGTATTTTTATATAAAATTTATTTTGCAAGAGAGTGATCAAAAAGCAAAGTAATATTTCACTACAGAAATCGCAGAGAAAGAAATAAATGTAGACTTTCGAAGATTCCACAACAACGCGATCACTGATAAATTATTATCGTTATACAGTCATACGTTATCTTTACTGGAATGATCGTAAACGTGTATACTTATATATATACATGCGTATCAATCATAATAAATGCTTCCTTATAAAAAAACTTACTTTTTCATTAATTACGTAATAGAACCGGAAAAGGAGTGAATAAAACAAATAATAATAATAATTCCGGTGAATCCCTGATGTTCTCCATAGATGAGATACTTTTCAAGATTTTGCAATTGTTTTTTGCGATTGTGGACAATTATATCATGCTTTTGACATATCAAGATAATTACGTGACATTTGAAAAGCTACAATCAATGTAATAAAAATTATGTATAAAATGCATTATAACGATGATTTTTATTTATTATATATATAATATTTATATATATAATTATATATAAATATATATATTTATTTATTATATTTATATTTATTTATATATTATTTATTTATTTTTTTATTTTATTTATATTGCATATTTTATTCATATATTTCACTGATAAAGCGCGACGCTGCGTGAGGATCATTCTATTTTATTGCGTTAGCGTTCCGCCAGATGGCACGGCTAACACTTCCGGTACCGCGTCAGAGACTCTATGGCTCTAGTTCAGCGCATACTCCCGGGTTGTTGTTCTTTTCCGTGTCTCGTGGCGTGATTGAAGGTAGGTTCCGACGTGATATTCCGTAATTTAGAGAAAAAAAAGCCCAAATACGACGCTGTCGCGCTTATTTCTGCGTTCTATCGCCGTAGACATCGAAATCTATGATTTATAAGATCCTGTTTTGTCTTAGACACGTCGATGTGGCAAAAGTTGCCGCGAACACATGGCCAAGCGCGACGATCATCGTGTTTCCGATCACGCGATAAATCTGTCTCGTAATATCCGTATGCCTCGATTAACCGAGCATATTATGCATTGATTGCATTTAATTGTAATTTACGACTGCATTTGATAAAGACAACAATCGGACGAAACATTCATTGAGGTTAGCACTTTTTTTCTTATTACTGGCCGATACGGTCGAATAGCCTCCATTTCCTTCGCTCATTTATTCCTTCAATTTATTGATATATTGGAGCGCTAATTAATTAATTTTTTTGAGGTAAAACATCTCTTGAAAAAATTATGTAAAATAACTCTTTTATTTAAAAAATTTTTTTTTTAAATTTTATATTAAAGAGATAGATGTACAATATTTTATTATCATTAGTTAAGAAATAGACACTATTTTATGACATTAAACTGAAATTATTTCTTGATTCATGTTAGTGAATATTAATCCATTGTTGTCTTTACTAAATAAATGAAATCTATGCAGCTATTGTCCTCGTAAGGGATTGCATCTATTATGTTCTTTATGTTTTTTGAGTGATATTATTAATTAATTTAATATTTAAAAAAAATTATAAAATATATAAATCTATTTAATGAGTAGAGATAGGTAGGTATAACATATATATTTTTAAGTTACTTATAAAAGAAAATATTCCCCATGAAAAATAAATAAGCTTTTAAGTATGAAATGAATTATATCATTAAAATTCATTAAATTATTCAAGAGAAACTTCTTTTTCAGAGAAAGTTAATCCCATACGAGAACAAAAAGTTACATAGAAAGATGCCACAGAACGAATACATTGAGAGGCACCGTAAGCTCTACGGTCGCCGTTTGGACTATGAAGAAAGAAAGAGGAAGAAGGAAGCTCGTGCACCTCACAAACGAGCGGAGCAAGCTCGTACTTTACGTGGTATAAAGGCCAAGATCTTCAATAAGGAGCGACGAAATGAGAAGATCCAGATGAAGAAGAAGATCAAAGCACATGAAGAAAAGAGGGTCAAGGAGAAATCCGACAAGCTGCCGGAAGGAGCGTTACCTGTATATCTGCTAGATCGTAATGTCACCAATCGCGCAAAAGTACTGTCCAATATGATAAAGCAAAAGCGTAAAGAGAAGGTTGGCAAATGGGACGTTCCGATACCTAAAGTAAGAGCACAATCGGAGTCTGAAGTTTTCAAAGTACTAAGAAGCGGGAAAACGAAACGAAAATCGTGGAAGAGAATGGTAACCAAAGTGACATTTGTTGGAGAGAACTTTACGAGAAAGCCGCCCAAGTTTGAAAGATTCATCAGACCGATGGCATTGAGATTCAAAACTGCACACGTCACTCATCCGGAATTAAAGGCAACGTTTTCTCTACCGCTCATCGGTGTCAAGAAAAATCCGAGCTCACCTCTTTATACGAATTTAGGCGTCATCACGAAGGGAACTGTTATCGAAGTCAATATCTCGGAATTGGGTCTTGTAACGCAATCAGGCAAAGTGGTATGGGGAAAATATGCGCAGGTCACAAATAATCCTGAAAATGATGGATGTATTAATGCTGTTTTGCTTGTATAAAGTACACGATTGTTATTTATAAATTTTTCTTAGGCATTATGATGTAATTTCTGAAATAAAAAGATTTTAATACATGTATATATTGTATGTATTATAAAAGTATCCCAATTTACCTTTGGAATTCCTTGAAACAATCATATTGCATAAGTCTAAGTAGATATTACATATTCTAAATATTTTTTTGTAGTGTGTACAATCTTAGTGATATCGTGATAGCATTGTGTTTGGGCTTTAGTATATACACAATAGTTTTTAAAAATAACATTTGGATCACAACTTAAAAAAAATCAATTGTTGATTATTTTAAGTATAATGTATATAAACGTTAATATAATATTACAGAATCATCGATCATGCAGATCTTTGTGAAAACTCTTACCGGTAAGACCATCACTCTCGAGGTCGAGGCATCGGATACGATCGAAAATGTAAAGGCGAAAATTCAAGATAAGGAAGGTGAGGCATATCTTGATATGCAAGATTATTATAATCTATTTTAATCAGTTTTGATGGAAAGATGCTGGAAAAATATATATTATTGAAATTATATAATTTAGGGAGCTGAAAGAATTTAAAATGAAATCGGTTTAAAATTAAATAGAAAATATAAAGTTGCATTGTTTTCATTTGTGCCTTCAAAATTTAATTTACAAAATTTTATCTTCTGATGATTCCTACATATCTTAAAAATGCTAGTTATTATTGATATTTATGTATTTTTGTTATAATTCTTATATATATATCGACCAAGTATATATAGATGGTATACATTATATATATTTTTATTTTAAATAAATACATAAATTTCATTTTTCAATTATAAATGAGATTTTGATCGTTTCAGGAATTCCACCAGATCAGCAGAGGTTGATCTTTGCTGGCAAGCAATTGGAAGATGGTAGAACTTTGTCTGACTATAATATTCAGAAAGAATCTACCTTACACTTGGTATTGCGTTTGCGAGGTGGTGCTAAAAAACGCAAGAAGAAGAATTACTCCACCCCCAAGAAAATTAAGCACAAGAAAAAGAAGGTCAAGCTTGCTGTGCTAAAATATTATAAGGTAAGAATTTGTCTCGTTATATGTTTGTTCTTGCGAATTTTCCTTTCTTCTCTTAGTATTGATGAAATAAATAAATTTGGCATGGAATATATTTTACAGGTAGATGAAAACGGAAAAATCCACCGCTTGAGACGAGAATGTCCCATGGAGCAGTGTGGTGCTGGTGTATTCATGGCTGCAATGGAAGATCGTCATTATTGTGGCAAATGCGGATACACGCTTGTATTCAATAAACCAGAGGAGAAATAAATTCTCGAAATATATTTTCACGTACAGTTTGTAAAAATTTTATGTCCTTACATTTATCCTTTGTTCTTTTATGTGATTAAATAATTTAATCAAAGTACTTAACTATATTGTTTTTTTATTCAACTATTCGTATTATTTTCAATTTTGTAAATGTTGATAATTGTTTTTGTGAAAATAATAAGGATAACAATGAATAGATAAATTGCCAAACGATTTCACAGAATTGTTCTAAAAATCATCTATTATTTTTCATAACTTTTCACAATGCTTAAATATATGAAGTAAGTTTACATACAATTTTAATACATTATATTGTAAATATTTAAACTATTAACATAATAGTTAATTATAATTGATTCATGAAGCTGTACATATAACATAATTCTTAAAATAATAGGAAGAATATACACATTTAAACAAAGCTGGTAGATGCTTTCTTGTGTATTTATGCAAAGATCTATCTATCGATGCGCAAATCAATATTTTACACAAAATTTTTGTTTCTGATGATTTTTTGTTACACACGAGTCCTTACATTTCTGACTTAGTTCGCCGTTCTGTATGTGTATTTATACTCTTCAAGCTTGGTTGTAATACTGAGAACATTTTTTCTGTTGCAGTGGGATGAATACTCATTTGTAATTCCGTTAAAGATTCTTCTGTCTATTAAAATATAAAACAGAAATATTAAAATTAAAGAATTTTCTATAATATATATAGAATGCGGAAAAATTATCTGAATAAATTTCAAAATCTTGTATGGAATATTAAAAATACGAAAACAAAAAATATCTATATAAAGAATATCTTTATAAAAATATTATATATAAATATTATAAGTGTTAAATTTAATAAAATATAAAGAAAGATTTTTTTGTCTCACAAATCTTATTCAATTAATAAATTAATGTTTCAGAATTTTTGTGGTTTTTATATCTTTAATTTTTTCCGCATTAAAAAAAAAAAGAATATTGATAATATTGTTAAATTATATTATTGTTCGTTTATATTTTAATCTTTAATCTTGTCTAAGCCTTACTTGTCTAAGTAATTGTGCAGCAGTGTGTAAAACCCTTTGCCATTTCCTCATTTCTACATTGTGCAAACTTTCTTGTTGTTGCAAAAGGTTAATCCAATCCTCTTCAGTCTTTGGCGTATTTCTGAAAGTAATACAGAAATATTAGAACAGTATTTTATAAAAGAAATCAATAACACATACTTCAGTACATGTAAGTCCATAATGGTATATGCAGCGGCTTCCTCCAATCCCCATAATTTATAATACAGCAAGCCGTTGATCACCATTAAACACAATACAGCAACTAGTAGCATTGAACTGAGAATCATGTTGGTATCGCTTCTAGTACTAGCATCTAGTGGAATAAAAAAAGTGTCAGATAGTTTAACATAATGTTTATAAATTAAATGTATGTTGTAGAAAAATATTGAATTATATATTACTGTGAACATGTGGCAAACTGGAGGGAGAAATTTGATGATTCACAGATATGTGCTCAGAAGCATGTGTTTGCAATGCAGCTCCTGGACCTGTCGCACGTCGTCGTTTTCTTGTTTTTCTCTTTATACCTCCACTTACAGTACCTTCTTCACACTCCACTGCCAATGCTTTTACTAAACTATTAAAATACTCTTCCAAGCCTGCCCAACAATTCTTTTCAATCACACCTAGTTTTTTTAAGAACAAAAATCGTTAATTAAAATATTTTGCATGTGGAAAAATGACTAACACAATTCAAAAAATATGAATTTTTGGAAAAAAATTTAAAAAGTTCAATTTAATTTTAGTATAAAAAAATTTAGTATTTATATTCAATTATGGTCGATTACATTGGTAAACTAATCATCAACTTTATCAACAAAAACAAATATAAATTCACAAATCTAATTTTTCAATTTAATAAAATATTCAATTTGACTTATTATAGCTTTTAAAAAAGAATTATTTCGAGTTGAATGTCTTTTCTTTATCAAACTATCTTTAATTGTGTAATTGTTTAATTTATCTTTAATTGTTTGAACTTACTTTTCATAATACCCCATACACTCTTCTTATACTTCATTTGTGCGTAAATGGCAAGACTTGTCTCATTTTCGGAAATATTATTTATGCAATAATGTGTCAAAATACTAAAGGAATCGGCATAAGGTATACCAGCATTAATACTTTCTACATCTATACAATAAAGATGACCTGGTCTACTGCACGGTAACATCACCTACAAAATATAATATTAGATATAAAAAAAGAAAAACATAATGCACAAATATTTAACACAAGTTTTTCTTGAAATAGATTTTTTTACCTGCGTTTCTGTAACTTGACAAGTTCTTGGACCAATAGCTTGAGTCAAAGATACCGTGAATGAAAGGGTCCTCATTTTTTGACCAGTTTGATTTTGCATCCATGCAGATTGTATTAAATCTACATAAGATAGAAAAAGAAAACAATGAGAAATAAATTTATATTGCTTGATACAAATGCACACATATTTGCAGATATTGCACAATTATATAAATAAAGCCGCTTATAAATTTTTAAATTATTTTCTAAATCTATGTTTTCCAAAAATTGAAATTGTATATTATATATATATATATATATATATATATATATATATGTGTGTGTGTGTGGTGTGTATACACACACACACACACGCGCGCATATACGCTTATATACAGACACACAAAGCTATTATTTGAAACCATTTAGAAACACAAGCTTTTTAAATATTCTTTAAGATGGCTCAGACACATGCACTTAATAATAAATAATAATAACAGAATTATTATTTTGTTACCAGTAGTCTTGCGAGCAGTATGAAAATCTAAGAAAAATTTTGAATTTGTGAAGAGCAGGGTAAACAGTTGATCGATGTGGATAGGTAATGTCGATTTGTTAAGTTGTCGACCTTCATGCAGGGAAGTGCAGACCGTTGTGCTCCGTATGCTCATTTTCACTGGAACAAGCATTATCATGACTGCATTACATGCTATGCATGTAATCTTAGGATGAATAGTACTTATGTATCTTTCAGATAAAAATTGCAAATTTTAATGTAGATTTCTTATCAAAGTATAAATGTAATTTTATTTCTGTTTGTATTATATGACTTGCAATTTAAGTTAGTTCGCGAAAAAAATTAAATGTTAATAATGTCATGGCAAGAGCTGTCTTAAAAAAATACATATTTACAGAAAATGTACAGGCTTAACTTAAATCTATGTTGCAGAAATTAATCATCTTTAGATATATATCATGCATTTTATAGTAAGCTTAATTTCTTGCAATTTTACAAGTTTTTTATTAGTTTCTTAATCACTTTAATGTGCAAAAAGCTTGATAATTAAAAAAATTCAAAAAACTGAAAAGACTGATTTGAATACAAATTAAAATAATACACATAATATATAGTAGTTCATTTTATAAATACATTAAAAATATAAAGGTTTTTTCCTGTTTTTTAGATTTGCTAGTCTAGATTATTTGTGAAGCATTTATATATTCGAAAATATTAGAAAAACATTTTATCTTTGTATTAAAAATATTAAGTTTTATAATTTTATTAATTGATACTTATTAAGTATTTTGGTAATCTGCTCTTTAAAAAGGTTCTGATAAAAATTTTAAAACAAAATATATCTCTTAAAAAAAAAGATACTTACAACCATGTTTCTCGGCCTCACTTTCTGTTGTATCACTCAAATCTGTTGGATCAGGAACAGGATCTGGTTTAGATATTGGTGGAACTGGTTGCTGAATTGGAGATTCAGCACCCGATTGTTCCACAGGAGTAGGATCCATGGCTGGAGATGCTGAATTTTCCATAGTAGCTACCTCAGCCTTTGTTTTCATGAAAAAATAATAAAATAACATAAATGTTAACAATGTGTTCAATTGACTAGTCAATGTTAACTTTAATTCATATATTTTTTTCAGCAATTATTACGTGGAATCAATTACTAATTTTGTAATTTTCATTAATTTATTGAATTTATTAATTTATGAAATAGAATTAGTTAGAAATCTAAATACATTCAGTTATATTTGCCCACTCGTCTGAAAGTTTCGCTGGGAACAGCTCTTTCGACTCGGGGGAAACTGATAAATGCACCTGTTTACAAAACAAGCTTTACTATTGTAAGAAATCGGGGGATATTTTAGTGACGCTATCTATGAGCCGTGGAGAGAAGTCAAGACTGATTTGAAAATCTTTTATTGAGAATCAACTTAAGATTCCATTGAACAAAATATTAAATTTGTAATAGAGTATCTGATAAAGTCTGAAATGCCACGAATCTTTATACATGAACAACAAATTAAAATCATTTATTATAATTGTCAGATGCAATTAAAAACAAATTTAAAAATAATTTTCGTCAATCAGAGAATTAAGTCATTTGTTTCAATACATTTTACAAATCTAAAAAAATTATTTTAAAAAATTTAATAAAATAATTTAATAATAAAAAAAATTCTAATCTTGAACTTAACATATTATTTAATCTAATAGATCCAATTTCTCACTAATTTTTGTATATAATTATCATTTTTTTCAATTAATAAAATAATATATGTACAATTCTTTTTCAAAAAATATCATCAAATTTACCTCGGAAAAGGACTCTACAGAGAGACGAGTTGACAATTTCTCTTCGTCTGCCGCAGGTAACGGCGGTACATAATCTTCGTCATCAGAGGTTAAGCCTAATTCATCCCCATAACAAGCGTGTACAAGCTGCCACATTTCAGCCATACTCATTGGCTGAAAATAAAATAAAATATTGTATTAGAAGAAATGTACATTACAAGAATACATTATACAATTTTATAATACAGTCTATTCTTAAAATATTTATAACAATTTTTTTTGCAGAGAATACAATTTGAAATTAAAAAAAAAAAAAAATAAAATAAACAAATTAGTCCAGCAAATATACTTTAAATCGTTTGATAAACACTTTTATTTGTAAGTATATCATATCTCAAGATTAGTATTTTTTTCAACATTACCATAAAAGTCTTTGATATTTAGTAGTATGTAATATATGCATACCTCCCCAATAAGAGCATTTTGCCAAACACGAAATAACATTACATATGTTTTATCTCTCGCTCCAAACGATGTTAGGAAGAACTTGTCAGTAACAGTACAAATCAGAATAGCATTTGGAATGACAAGTGCAGTTTTCTCTTTGGTAATAGATGTAACATCTTTCCAACGTAGGGAGACCAATGTCTCCCACATAAATATATTAGCATAAAAACACACATAGTTTTGAGACACATAAAGTCTACCATGTACCAATATCTCACGCTGAAGAGCACAGGAGTAATCTAAAATATTATGTTGCTAAATTAATAAAATTGTGGAACATGTTATAAATATTAAGTCTACAATTATGTGGATGCAACAATTGTAAACTAGTTAGTTTGAATAACTGATAGGGAATAAAATAATGTGACATAATACATTTTTATATGCACAAAAGACGATATTCTTCAGTCAACACTTACCTACCACCAATCTCTCATCATCAGGCACATCTTTGAATATTCGTTTAAAGTCCTCCGAGCGTGATTTATAAGTTGGGTAAAGTACATTATACCAGGAAGATTTTTTCTTGGTCCGATCACTGCTACGTGTTTCCTTTTTACTTTCATGAGAAGAACTCTTGTTGAGATCAGCCGAGTCGGACGATCTGTTGATCAGATCCTGTATATCATGAAAAACAATTATATTTTCAATCAAAATACTTGAATGTAAGAATTATAATTTTAAAATGGTAGATGCATACCTGAGATTGATCATCAGATTTATTTGCACGAAACTCTTTAGTAGAAGAATCAGAATTTAATCTGGAATATTCTCGTCTGGAATGAGCTCTCGGGCTGGGACGTGGGGATAAATTAGGACTGGACACAGGACTGTTACGATCACCCACAGTTTCTTGTGCATTTTCCGCAACGTTTCCTACATTCGTTGCTGAATTTTGATTACTCAAACCAGAAGAATTAATGCTACTAATTACTTCGTGACTAGATATCAACAGATTCTCCACAGATTTGTTCCTGATAAACAGAAAAAAAACATGACGTCAGATAAGGAAAACGTTAAGTATCTTGCAAAATATATCAATGATACATACATGCTTGATACCAATTACTTTTGAACCGTCTCGGTCTCGAAGTGTATAATAACAAATTACGCGATGTCAGCGTCCACGCACTCGCGGCTGGAGCTGTCAAACATCAAAAGCTTTGAGAGAGTCTCACCGATGGATTTGGGAGATAGACTTTAAGTGCCTCGGCACCGGATTATATGAAATAGATAGCGTATTGTAGCGTATGTAAGCGGTGTGCGATCGTTAGTATGCATTTAATTGGCTAACAGAGCGTTTTTATCGTGTTTTTATCCACACATTGGGCATCGGTACTTGGGCCTACCGCGATAAGAGTGACACATTTCAGATAAAGAGCAGCCACCGCGCGTCACCGTGTCAGGCATCACTCGCTTCAGATCACGGTAGCTCGACGATCGCGGGACATCACCGTTTTGTGCTTCGTCACCCGGTTTTTTCTCTCGCGTTATTTACGACATCGGAAAAAATATATCTCTCTTATGTGAAAAACTGTCACCTACGCGCGACAACACTATCCAAAAAAAAAAATGCAACCGTCGCGTTCGAAAGCGCGAATGCATCAATCATTGAGCACGAAATAATGAACGAGTATAGATTGTGTTCGAGAGACGTAATGGTTACGGACGCCAGCCGATACTGATTGGCTCTCGAAAAACGAATTCAATTGGTGGATATATCTAGTAACTTTTCATATCTTTTGAATTGCAGTTTGAATTTTTAGCGGGTTTTCTAACCAAAAATATAGAATAGATAAAAAAAATGTTTTGTCAATATATATATTTAAACATATATACTTTCATTGTATATACTGTCTGCTATTTAAAAGAATACACAATAAATATACATATAAATATATTACATACATACATATATATTTTAATTGATAATAAAATAAAATTTAAAAAAAATTATAAAATCAAATTTTCTAACTTTTAAAAATTGATTTTATATTTTTTTTTAATTTTATTTTATTATCAATTAACAATTTATATGCAATTATATGCAATATAATATAAAATAACAGATCGCATGATTGAATATTATTGCAGTAAAATACACAAGAAAAATAGAAAATCATTAAAAATCAATATGTATAATATGCATAGCAGAATGCATCTTACTGATCCTATACACTGATTTCACATACAATTTAATATCCATAAAACGTACCGAGATTTAGTAACGGCTAAATAATTACATATTACATCGGCAAGCCACGTTATCAGAAACTGAGCATAAGGAAGATATGCATATCAAAATCTGCTGCAAAATCATGAATTTGCTAATATTCAGCATTTTTGTTATCTAGGTTATTGAATGAATAAATATTATCTATATCAAAATGTATTTAAATAAGTCTTATCTACATTGTAAAATGAAATAGCATATTACTAAATATGCATTTATAAGCAAAATTTCTAATATTTTTAATACATCTTAAAATAACATTTTATTAAGGGGCAATTTCACGTGCCGCTAAAACAAGCGATTGAAGCGGCAGATTTGTCGCTCGTAATCCAGCATCAACAATTTTTAATCAGTTCAACTACAAAGCATTTACTGCTTAAACGCTCAACTTTCAACTCTGTCGCGCTGCTATCCTTTTCATATACAAAAATTGTTACAAAAGTTGTTACGTGATCATTTTGTCGCTCAAACAATCGATTTTAGCGGCTGGTGAAAAGGCTTTATTAAAAAGTTACATTATTACAAAATTATTCCTAATTCTACAAGAAAAATAATTATTTACGTAATCGAGTTGAAACCCTAGTCTCTCGCAACGGTGTATTAGTTTTATATCGTTTCGGAGACGGCGATACGCTGTTTTCATCATTAGTCTTTGTATTTTTCTTTTGTACGTGTCCTTTTCTTTTGTCTAAGAGAAAGTAGAATAAAATTCGTATTACCTATTCCTATTGCTTATTAATTATTTATTCAATCACTTTTAATTGCATATAACAAATACTAAATTTTAAGAAAATAAAGCGAAAAACAATCAGAAAGTTATTTTACATACAATCAAAATAAAATATAAAGTCGGAATACTATTTTCCAATATAATATAGGATTTGTTTTCTGTTCCTGCACTAATAAACTAGTGCAAAACTAGTGAAAAAACAAACCTATAAATAATAATAATGATGTAAGTTTCAAATATACTACTGCATTTGCAAATTATGGTGTATTTATTTATTAATATATAATAAGAAATGTTTTTTTTCTAAATATTTATATTACAGTAAATATTAGACGAATATTATAATAAATATTTAAAAAAGTTAATTGTATATAACAAATTAAATCAAACATTACTGAAATTATAATATTCTGAATTCATTTCGACTATATATAACTCTCCGTTTGTTTTTCACGACTGTGTAATAATTTTATTATAACTGAGTAATTGTTATATGCAGTTGATTTTTCTTTGTTATTTCTCGCTAAGAAAAATATATATAAAAAATACCTATACATTTATATATATTTTAATTTTAAATGTAAGAAATTAACAAAATCGACTTTATTTACTCACTTTGTGCAATAGGTGCATCTCTCTCTTGCACATCTTCCTCAGAATCATCAGAGCTATCATCTTCATCGGAATCATCATTAATTTTCTTTTTACGAATACTTTTTATATTTTTCGGTATGGTAGATGGTGGCGGCATTCGATGTTTGTCTGCCACACTCGAGTTTTCGGTTTCTGTTTCGGTCTCTAAAAGTTCTTGTATTTTCTCTTCTAATTCTGTGCAAGCAGCAGTAGCATCTGCCTTTTTCTTCGCTTGCTCAATGATATTTTGCAACGCTGCTAATACCGGTTTATAATGAATTTTTTCTTTCAGTAGTGGTAAACTTTCGATAAGACGTCGTATACCTTTAAAAGAAAAAGAAAGAATAGGATTAATATCAATTACATTACTAAACAAAAATTACTTGACTTACTCTTTCCACTGAATTGCAACAGTGTAAGACAGTAGGAAAGATCACGCCATTGTCTTTCTGTGGTAGCTAATTTAAATCTAGCACAAATTTTATCAATTATGGTATCAATTTGTCTCTCTCTCTGTATCAGACCGAGAATGTATCTGTAAGTTATAACATTAATGAAGAGATGCAGTTTTTTTCTGCTGTACATATTGAGCTACAATATTTACTTGATGGTTTCCTGAAATTGTTTTTCCTCGAGATTCAATTCAGGATCTGCTAAGCGCGACAATATATCGGGCACTATATTATACAAAGCATTGCCTTTCTGGGCGAGTTGATTAAAGAAGTCTTTCGTGTTCTGCCGTATTTGTTTATCCTCGTCAATAATGCAAAGTGCTAATTCTGAAACTTGTCCTTTCACTCGTATCATCTCCCTCATTATCAGATTCGATAACATACGAACGCACGTTCTACGCACGTCTACATTCTGATCTCGGAGTCTATGAACATAAATATTAATATTAATAATATTAAATTAATACTAATATACAGAGTGTTGAAAAAGTTGTACAATATTTTAAGGGGATTTAGTATGTTTAAAAACAAGTCGAAAAGTCTTAATAAATATTTAGGTTTGCAAATCGTTTCTGAGATATTTTTATTTTTATTATTTTTATTTTTTTTATTATTTTATTCGTGTGAATATAAGTAAATTAAATTAAATTATAAGTAAGTTAAAGTTTGTATGAGATATTGCAAATATCTCAAAAATGATTCAATTGCGAACCTATGTTTATTAAGACTTTTTAACATATTTTACGACATACTAAATATAATCATTTTCATTCCTAAATCGATATATTAATCAATACTTGAAAAGTGACTTTTAATTTGAAGACCAATGAGTAAGAATTAATTTACCTGCCATAGATGTGCTTTGACCATGGTTCCACTTGATTGGGAAATCTAGTAGCAAGATCGCTCAATCCGATCAGCATGTTCGATCTCACTCCGGGATACGGCGATCGTTCCAATATGGTGACTAAGAGTTGTAAAGATTGCTCGCAAAATATAGAACTTACCGTCATCATTTTGCTGAGTGCGAGTGAGGCTGCGGCTTGTAGATTCTCGTTATTATACTTATCGTGATACTTGCATACATCCAATACAAGTGGCCTGTAACAATTGTATAATATATATATATATATATATATATATATGGAAGTTTTCTCTATCAATCGAGTAAAGATCATTATCATTCTTGCACGATATTAATTTAAATTGATTTGAAGGCCAATGAGTAAGAATTAATTAATTTACCTGCCATAGATGTGATTATTTGAATACGTACACAAATTTTGCGAGCAAGCCATTTCCAGTAACGATCTCATTTTCGAGAGCATTATTCACGAATTCCGCTTCGGCGTCATCTATTGCACCTTCTAAAGCTTCCTCACCATTCTCACTGGTCGCAGAAATCATCGAGTTATCTCTATTTCGTCGTGCACTCGAAGAGACCGACGCGTTTGCTGATTTGGATCTAATATCTGGTGTCGTAAAGGTGTTACCTCTCGGTACTTGTTTCTTGCTCTTATTTTGCTTTCGTACTGCATTTCTACGCTTAAGTTCTTTATAAATGGGCATGTCCAAATGAATCATTTGCTTGATGGCAATGTGTCCAACTATATGCAGCAGTTTGCAGAGTACAGGGCGTGATACACCTGCTTGATTATTTTCCTTATTTATGAGTTGACTCTTCTCAGTGATGTCCAATAACAATTCCTTTACCAATTTATCAGGTTGATTTGCTAGCTGGAATTTAAAATAAAACTCTCAGCACGATATCCCAAGTGTATTTAATTAACACATAACAGTCTCACTCACATGATATATGACGTTAAGTGCATCCGTCGCAAAAGAGACATAAGCGTTTTCATTCGCGTTAATAAAAGTGTCTTTTAACAATATCTGGATTTGTTGGAACATATCTTGATCGTTGGAATATCTATACGATAAGAAAGAATCTTTTAACTCAATTCTAAAAAACTTCAAATTATTTTCATCATTTTTAAAAATTTACCTCAGAGGTGCTTTTTCAATATCCTTGTTGTTATGTTTTATCATTAATAGCATTCTGCAAGTGTCTCGCGCGAGAAGAAGATCGTCCTTCGCGCGTGGACCTAATCCTACTTTCACTAATACATCTAGATTATCGATCACAATGTTAGATTCTGCTTGAGCTATCATCGTTATTATCATTAACGAAGTTCTGCTGTCTATTTGCAATGTATCCGGATATTTCATGGAAAACTTTTCCCATAATACCTATGGATATAGCATTAATTAAAATAAAGATATTGAACTCTGTAAAGTATTTCTAATTATAAAAGTATAACAAAGTATTTACAACTGTGGTCATCAAATGAGATAAATATACTTAGTATTAAATTACCTGCAGTAATTCGCTGTTTAATTCCCCGTTTTCATACCATGTCACGATCAGTTGAGCTAAAGCCGGACTCTGTCCAGGCTGTAACTCTTTTAACAAATTGATCAAACGATTGGCGCGAGTTACGGCTATTTGACGAGCTGATTGTTTGTCATTATCAATGTCGAAATAGATGTTTTTGTACACCACTGCTACATTACTACGCACAGACTGATCACGATGGAACACTTGAAAAAGGGCTTCGCGTATTGCGCTGGCTGCACCAGTTACTCCGAATTGAAAAGCGGTTCCTAGGAATGTACAGGATTCAACGGCATCGCCGGGACTTGTGGAGAACAATAGTTTTTCTGCCATCGGTATTGCCTTTTCCAACTCGCTCGCAAACTTGAGACAATTCTGCAAAAAAAGCTACAATTATAAACAGTTCAAAAGAATTGCTTTATTCAATTTCATGTCACGTACTGTTAAGTAATTTATAACGCGTTTTCTCAGTCTTAGCTCTTCTTTTTTCTTATTATTTTGTTCTGACTTGCTTGCATCGATCATATTCTCCTCCTCATTATCTGCAGATTTGCTTTCCGATTCTATAAAAATTTTCAGTAAAAAGGCAAATAGACACTCCTCCTTTGCTGTACTGGAAAGATTTTTCATTTCAGGGGCTTCTTTCAATAACATACAAGTTTTCCACAAGTATGTTACAGCTTCGGTGACTTCTCGGTTTAATAATAATTGTCTTACATGTTCGAAAGCATGATCTGCATCAATATTCTCTTTGTTCTCTGTACCTATTAAATAAAATCATGTGTAATAAATTTTGTAATGTGTCTTGAAAATGTTTTGCACATCAATAATATATTAACAAGTGTAATATAACTAACATGAATCATTTATATATTCCGTTTCATTTTCAAAAATCTGTTTTATTGTCGCTTTAATATCTGGCTGTAAAGTGTTCCAAAGTTCAAATCTTTGCATATGACCGCGTTCACTAGTGCATGCAATTTGAGCTTGCAATTCTTGCAATTTTGATTTTTCTTTTTCCAACGAATCGGAGAGTTCAACAGAAGTCAACTGCAATAAAATAAAATACATCAAATCAAAAGATCAGTCAAGAGAAAAGTGATACTTTTAATTTTTGAAGAATATATACCTTGGCAGCGAAGGGATTACTTTGCAACATGGCACGCAACAATTGGAGAGCCTGTTTACGAACAATCGCGCTCTTATCTTCTAAGCGAAGTGCGATGGCGGCTAAAAGCTTCCCATATCTGGCTAATGGTACAGCACCGTTGCAACACAAGCGCTGCCACATTTGAAGTACCTTTGATCTAACATGAGCATTGCAATCCAAAATATGATCCTCCAAATTGTTTAGGCATTCATCACGTAGCTCTTTCTGTTCATCCGTAAGATCTTCGCCAGTCAGTGCTTTTTGTACTACACTACCCAAGACTCCAATCACACAGTTTCTCATAGTATAAAACTATAAAATAATTTCAAAAAAATTGTTTAAATTAAACTACCTCTTTAATTATGCATATCATTTAACAAGTCTTATATCAAACTATTGTTTAATCAATAGCAAAAAAGAATTATGATAAAAACGTACCTCATTTGACAGATAATCCATCATCTCATCAAGAACAGGAATTATAAGATCAGGTTGCGAGATTGCGATGTTTTCGAGAAACGTGGATACATTACGACTTTCGACTTCACCAATTTCACTCTGTCCAATCTCATTCATTACACTTTTTATCAAACCAGTACAACCACATTCAGTCGTCATATGTACTATGCCAGCCGCTATAGGTACTGCTAGTGAGTCACATAATTTTACTAATTGAATAATTCTCACAATGCAAGTTATCCCATGATTATATTTTTTAATCAAAGTTCCTAAAATCTGTTGTAAATAAAAATATAGTTAATATAATAATAATAATTAATAATTAATATAATAAAGTTTGTGCACAATATATACAACTATAAATGATATATGAACATATGTATAAATAATAATACCTCAAATATAGTTTGTCTCATATGTTTTTGCTTAGTATCTTTACTCTGTTCCAATATTTTATAACATATTTGTGCCAAAGTCCTGTAAATATTATGGTTTAAATTAACAGTGTTTTGCAAATTAATTGCATCACTTACATAACAAATGAATTTTCGACGATTGGTGGTCTCCAAATCTTATACAATGGTATTTGTAGCCAGCGATATAGAAGTTCCAAAGCTTTCTGTTTGGATTGTTCCCAATCTTCTTCAATATCTGTCTTGGTACCTTTTTTATACTAAAAATGATAAATTAATCTTTAATTGTACAATTGTATAATATATAACAATACAAATAAAAGAATAATATTTTTATACCTTTCCAATATTGGCTTCATTTGCATTTTTTACAACACGTTCATCTATATGACTAACAAACCATGAGAACAAATATGCTAGCATGTTGTTAATACATAAATATGTTTTCCGGTCCTCTTCCTCTGTAATATCATTATTATGATCAAATATTTTTTCCAAATCATCCACAAGTACTTGCACAGCTGAAAATGATATCGATGTATAAATAAACTAACACCAAGTAATTTATCTTAATTAATTACATAGTTATATTGTAAAATAAAAAACACTTTTATTCATAACACAACCTAGATTTTATATATAAAAAAATTACCTTTAGAAATCCTAGTAAAACCACGTAGGCAGACCGCAAGTTCCACTTTACTGCCATGAACAATGATAGAGAAAAATGTGTCAAAATGTTCTAAAATAAAATGTGGGCCATTTTCCTGTAATGCTGGTCGTGTAGCTGTAACACAAATTCAACATTATAAACATAAACTATTCAACTACTGCAACTGTTATTACTAACAATTTATTGTTATTAAGGATTTACTTAGAGATTATTGTTACTATAGAAAAGCAATTATAAGTGTCACAATAGAATTGAAAATAAGAATTATATATTGAAACTTACCATCAAGAGTCTGTGATATCATTCGTATAGGAACAATCTCATCAACAAAATATTGGTCAGCATGAGACGTCAAAAGCTCATCCGGCACCAAAGGAATCACGAAATTTTTTACCATTTTGATGTAATTCTAAATTCAGCCGTCAATCTGAAAATCCTAAAAATTGTCACAAACAATCAGATTGTTTTGCATTATACATCTCATCATAATAAATACCATTGGAATAATAGTTCATTATCTTCCTCAAATTTATAAAATGTTCAATCAAGCTCCACTTTCAAAGCGATCTTCGTAACTAACCAACAAAAACATTCGTATCAAATACGTTTCATTTTCAAATTCACTGCTACCAATCACAGATTATTAAAAGCTGTTCCCACAGAAAAGACTGTAGAGACCTCTCGCGGAGAGCTATGAATTATAGATTCGTAATTATAAACACACACACATTTATATATATATATATATATATATAAATATATAATTGCAACAAATTACAAAATCAACTCTGTTAGCACAAATCTAACAACGTAAAGATTTTTCGAAATAACAAATATCACTAGGAAATTCATGGGAATTATGCTCGTTCTACAGGACATGAAATCCACAATATATACACATACATAATTTTTTATATTAACAATTTTTACGTTCTATCTTAAGAACAATACAAATAAAAAACATTATTTTTTATATATTACTTTAGTTATAATTTAATCCTAATTTTTTAAATACATATATATAGTAGAAAAATATTAAAATAAAATGTAACTTATTCCAAATATACAAGATATTTTTTCATATGTATGTATATATATACAAATATTTATACTTATCTTCATTAATTATCTTTAATCAATATCATACTTTATATTTTTACATTGTCTAATTCTTTAGTTACTTTTGATGCTATATTGTCATCTTTTTCTTCTTTCTCTTCTTCAGATTCTGTATCACTTGGTGGAAAATCAGGAAGTGCTAAAGATAAGTATAAATATTAAAAAAAGAGAAAATAGAAAAAACAAGAAGTTATTGAATGTCCTTACCATGTCTATCCAATTTCTCTTGCCAGGCTTTGTTTAGAAACTCTTCTTGTACAGCAATTACCTCTTTGCTGTTTGTGCAAAGAGCATATTTGTTCAACAATTCATCATTCAACTCTAAAAACGCGTGTCCCCATGAGAACTTTCCAAGATAAATATTGGCTTCCTCTGGAAATCCTGTTATAATCAAAGCAGCTGCTATAGCTTCAACACAACTCAACTGATAAGATTTTCCATAATTTATTGGATTGGCAGCAACCAAAAATGGCAGTAGACGAGGATGAGATGCCTTCATCCTGTTAAAGGGAGTCTCGTCTAAGCGAGCCCAACTGCAATCCACAACTGCACAGCCATACTTCTGTACAATTTCACGATCTGCTGGGCATACGCACTGCAACGCAATGTTTTAAATCATTAGCATGTTGTAGCAAAACTGTAACCATATCTCCATTTATTAACTACCTGACTACCAGCTGGAGTGAGACATAAGCCGGAAAATCGAGTTCCTAATCGCAATATCTTTATCAAGCCGTGCCTCGCTAGTTTCCTTCCAGAGCATTTTTTGGGATCGCAGTGCTCCATGTCCCACATGGCCACAGGAAACGGGATCGATGGTTCGTCTGATGAATCTACGAATTTAATGGGAGATAATTTTATGATAGAAGTGTGAAAAATTTATTTGATCTAACCTGCCTCTTCATCCAAGTTCTCCTTCTCCAATCCTTCATCTCTCTCCTGCTGGTACCTTTGCTCCTTGCCGAGAACATGACGGGGTCTCTTCTCGAATAATTTGCTCTTGTTTTTCCTCCTACGTCCCGACATTTTTCACACCGAATTTATTATTATTCTCTCGTATTATCTTTCCAGCGTGTATGCAAAATAACCTAAGACAACTTGATCATAACCTGCAAGAGATTTTATGATAAAAATTTATAATTAATCTTCATATAAGAGATTTGTTCTTTGTATAACTAAATTTCTTGCATTTATTATTAATATTAAGTAATTATTTGTAATATTTTGTTCTTGTAATTAAATATAAAATGTACATACGCGTGACTATTTTTTAAATACTATTTATCATTTGACAACGCTAGGGAATAATGTTTCGCTCTACGCGATGGCCAATCAGCTTCCTCTATTTCTAGAAATAATAATCCGCAACGAGAAACGTGATTGGCTGATTACGTCACTGCATGCAACCCTGCGTATTGCAAAAAGCACTAGAAATATCTTAGGTTTGTTCGCGTCGCATGCCTCAACTTGCTCCTTTTTACTTCAATGCGCTCGTATTGGTCCAATTCGAGGAGCGCACCAATACGAGCGCATTGGAGTAAGAAGGAGCATGTTGGGGCATGCGACGCGAACAAACCTTTTATTAGCATCATTCCATCTACCAAATCGATCTTTCACTTCACGTGTTGTGTCAGAGAACGACGATGGTGAGTCCTGTATTTCTTTATAATGTATCCATTTATTTCGTTGCCATCTTGTTATTTTATATGTGAAAGCATCCAAAAGTTAAATCTTCAGAGTCTGATTTCGTTTCGTATGTATTTCAGTCGGCGCATAAGACATTTATCATCAAGCGAAAGCTTGCCAAAAAGCTGAAGCAAAACAGGCCAATTCCACAATGGGTGAGAATGCGGACTGGTAATACTATCCGGTAAGTTTTTCAACTTAATTACTTTAAAGATTCGTCATCTTTACTTTACATAAAATTTGAAAGATTTTTTCGTTAAATATTTAATATCTAATATATTGTATGCAGGAAATGATAATTACTATTTTAAGGTTAGATGAAGCCTGCATATATTGTGCTAATATACATCCAATGCATAATTGATTAATTTATTGTATTTGATTACTGCTTATAAATTGTGTTCATACTTTTACAAAATTACATAAATATTGCTATGTTATGTGTCAAAATATAAATAAAAATGGATAATAAAGTTATATATCATTGATCTATAATTACATTTGAATTTAGAAAAACACTTAAGTGAATAAAATAAAGATTGATATGATTTTATAAAACTTTGGACAATATTTTATTTGTGATATTATTTTTGCATAGCTTATTGATTTTTCTTGTCTTTAGTGCAAATTGTCAATTACAATTTTTTATATGATTGCAACAATTTATTTACTGTTTTCTTTGTTATTTTCTTATCTTGGATATTTTAAAAACATTATATTATCAATACTTGATAATTGACTTTAATAAATAATTAAAATTTATAGACTAGTATTATAGATAGTTTTCATATATATATAATTTTTTCAGATATAATGCTAAGAGGCGTCATTGGAGGAGAACTAAATTGAAGTTGTAAATCCTATTAAAACATACACATTATATGATAACAATAATGTATGATTTAAGAATAATGGATATATCTACAACCTCAAAAAAATTGTCATAATTTCCAGCATCTATGACAACGAAAAATAAAATTAAACTATTAAAGTATAAAACAGGTGTATATTTCTAATATATATATATATATATATATATATGTTAACTCTTAGCAAACTTTTACAAAGAATTCGGCACTTTACGCATATGCATCTGCTTTAACCAATCTTCTAATAATTCTTCACCAGTCTTAGGATATGGTAAATAATAGTGTTTAGGTGGTGGTCCTTCTTCCAAACGTACAAAATAATGGCAATATCTATAATGAATAGTTCCCTTGCGTCCTTTAGCATGACGTCGTAAACCTTTCAGTACTATACCTTTAGTACTAAATGATTCCGCTGTAAAAGTTAAAGTTTATCATTTATTATTGAATTGTTAAAAGAACTGCAACAACATATGAGTACAGATATATAACAAAACTAGTATTAATTAATATAATCAAACAAATATTTGCATATACTTACCAACCCACAAATTACTTTTAAATTCGACATTGTGTTGTTCTACAGCCACACGTTGAGCATCTAGTATAACTTCTTTTGCAATTTGAGCACCTTTCATATGCAGAAAGCTCAACTGTTTAACAGCTTCGTCTACAGACATTCCTCGTACAAAAGCAGCAATGTACCACATTTTTTTCGGGCTATATTTTACATTAGCTCTATAATAACATACATACTGAAAAACAAATATACAATAAGAATAATCAATTATTTAACATTAGCATAGCATATAGAGTATTGTATAATAGAACAGACTTACAGCAGGCCTTCTTTCTTCATCTGGCTTTTGAGGTGGAAAAACAGTTTTGTTATAAGAAAGAAAATGTCTCGGTTTCTGATATTTTTTCAAGTTGGTGTTACATATCGCAGAAAGATGGAAACTGTACGTTGGTATAAGATTAAATGTATTTACTGTACTTGGTGATATACCCACTTTATTTAAGGTAAATCTACCATAAAACATTAGATGTTTCACACACTGACGAATACTCTGCATTTTCTATAAATGTAAACTTTTATATTAAATTACAAGATGTAAATATAACAATAATCTATTAGTAATGAAAATAAAACAAACTTCTCAATTGAGATTTTCTGATAAATAAAAGATTTATACAGAATTATAAATAACTTTCATAAAATAACTTCTTTTAAAAGAAATGTTAATATAACATAACCTAATAATCATTTATATTAATTTTTTACTATTACGTATATTTACATATTATACAGATAAAAATATTCTTACGAATTTTCAATTTATTCAATTTGAATAAATCAATCGGATATCAATTGTCTTTGTTTCTACAGATAAATTAATTTTTGTCCAAACACACATTTATTAAATACTACATATGATTGATTTGACACTTAACCTCAATTTGATACACTCTTTCCAGCCTTTTGACACTTTCTGTATCTAAGATTGTAGGATATCTTGGCCGGGTTATTTCAACTTATCCTAATATAATTATAATATAACATATATATATATAATATTTGCGAAAAACCACGGTCTCACATTTTCAGAGAGAAAGAAAGAGCGAGAAAAATACTTCTTCTCTCTCACTTCGCCGTACTGCGCAGTAGAGGATGGGAGACTATTCCCCCCATTCTATACCCGTCACGTGACGCACTCCCCACTCCGCACTTGTCACGTGACACCTGACGCGTCGCATACCAGCGCCGCCTACAGGTCAAAGTCGATTCAAAGTCGTACGCGTCGAGACGCCCGCTCTCTTTCTCACCACGATAATTATATTGTACGAAAAATTCTTTAATTAAAATAGTATTGACTTTGTGCTTTCAATTCGCCTTTATCGAAATTTAATTGCGTGCATGATTTAAATACGCATTAAAAAACACAAAATAAATAAACAAGTAATAAACAATTTGATAATAATTAAGGAATGATAAAACGAAATTTTTGATAAACCTTATATAAAAATTTTAATTACATATTTTTATAATAATAAACCAATCATAAAACTGTTCGAAATACAAATATTTATATATAAACGATTTATAATATTTACAATTTCTCCGTGAGTTCGGGTACAGCTTTAAATAAATCTGCGACTAATCCGTAATCTGCTACTTGAAAGATAGGAGCTTCTGGATCCTTATTGATGGCTACAATCGTCTTAGAATCCTTCATGCCAGCAAGATGTTGAATTGCACCCGAAATTCCAACTGCTATATATAGATTCTGAAATCATAATTATAAGATTTTTTAAATATATGTACAGAAGCTTGGAAGATAAATTTATTCTAAAATGAGATTCTGGATAAACATTAATTTCACTTACAGGTGCAACAATTTTTCCTGTTTGTCCTACTTGCAGATCATTTGGCACAAATCCTGCATCAACCGCAGCACGAGATGCTCCTACTGCTGCATTGAGCTTATCTGCTAATGTATATAATAATTTGAAATTTTCCCCAGATTTCATTCCACGTCCACCAGAAATTACGACTTTAGCAGATGTTAATTCTGGTCTGTCAGATTTACTGAGCTCTTGTTTAATATATTGTACTTGATTCGAGGTATAATCACTAGTAGGCAGAGTTTCGCATTTAGCATTACCACCTTCCAAAGATAATGGTTCAAAAGAAGTGCTTCTTACAGATATCACTTTCACATTGTCTTTAGATTTAAGAGTTTGAATAGCATTACCAGCATATATAGTGCGTACAAAAGTATCTGATGTTTTTACATCAATAATATCACTTATTGGCGATACATCTAACTTTGCTGCAATCTTAAATTAAACATGTTTTTAATAAAATATAAATAGATTAACAAGGTAAAAGATATGTAGTTGATATGTAATATATTCTTGAAAATATATGTTGTGTATACTAACCCTGGGAAGCAACGCTTTGCCAAATGCACTTGCACCAGCTAATATATGTGTGAATTTATGCTCATTATATAGTTTAAGTATAAGCGGTGTCAATGATTCTGCAGTAAATCCTTTAAATGCATCACTGTCTGCGAGAAGAATTTTGGAAACATCTTTGGCCTTACATACATTCTGTGCTACTGTATCGCACTTTGTACCAGCAACCAATACAGTTATATCACCACCAATTTTTTTGGCAGCTGTTAATGTGTTGCAAGTAATTGGTAGTAAATTTTCGTTGTTATGTTCTGCAATGACCAAGGTAGACTCATAACGTATCAGTGAGCCAAACTGTAAATAAATAACATATATTTGAAAGATCAAAATTTCTATTACATTCATATATAAAAAATAAGAAAATTTAAAGTATTGTTGTTTGAAAGTTTAGCTTTATATAACAAATTTCAAGCATCTTAAAAATTAGCAGATAATTGCAAAGTGCATATCTCTAACAATGTTTTCAACATAGGTTAATGTGTGTTGACATAATTAAATAAATTAATTAGTAAAATGTTTTATGCTTCTTGCAAAAATTTAGTAGGAAATGCAATGAGTATCAGAATTGGAATGTATTTTTAGGTTCATAATTATCAGACTGCAAGATACAAATATGGATCAAAATATAATGAAACATATGAACGACGAAAACAATAAATATGCTCACTTTACGAGTAGTCCGTAATGTTTTGATGCAGGTGGAAAACATTGTTATGGAAATTTGATTTCTTTTCTCGTTTTCAATATATTAAAAAGTAGAAAAATAGTGCTTTATATGAGTGACGACAAGGTCCAAAGTCCTAACAGCTGCAATACAGATATCAATTGAGTAGGGGTTAAGCCGTTAAGCACGTCAATTTATATATAGGCGCATGATAAATTGAAGGCAAAATTATTAAACATAATTACATAAAAATATAATTTAGGCAATATGTATTTGAAGTTGTATTTATTATATTTGATATTTATTTATAACATCTATATATATATATATATATATATATAAGAAATCCTTGTTTTTTTTCTTTCATGATTATGATATGATCCAAATTAATTCGAGTTTTCATTGATTGGCTAAGATTCTTTTCGATCAAAAATGGCGAAATAAATTTTTTAAATTTATCAAATAAAATTTATAAATATATATATATATATATATATATATATATTAATTAGTAAAACTTTATTCAAATAAATTAAAAATTTTATATCTCTTTATTATATTAAATAAAATTAATAAACTTTTTATATTTTTTACAATATATTGATATTGTTACATGATAAATTTTTGAGCAAAAAAGATTAGTTTTAGTTTTATTCAAATATATTTTATTAATAAATTAATAAAAATAATCTTTCTGATAACAAATATGTGTGATTTATTAATTTAACTTAAAGTTTCTATTCGAAAGTTATTTAAACTATTCACACAGATTTAAAAAATATAATTTATTTCCTTTTAAATATTAAAATATAAAAGTAAAATATTTATATTTTAACATTTTCATGTTTTATTATTTCAAGAATATTGCAATTAAGAAAAGAGAATCTTATATAATTTCATTATGTTATCTCCTTATTTTGTTATTATATTGTAACTAGGTAAATACAATTCTTTTTTAATATAATTTCATTATTTTTATTTTTATTTAAATTTAATTTGTGTGTATCATTAGATATTACAAACATCTCATTTTATCTTCGTTTTCTACCACCAACTTTTTTGTGCAAGTCTCGTTTGCCTTTTCCTGCTTTAGGTTTTTTAGCACCTTTGCTCTGTTTTAATGAACCTTTTTTCTTTTTGTTGTTACTTGTTGCAGATTGTTTTATCCTATAATATAAATTAATGATTATAAATATTAATACATAATTTGCATACATACTGTCTTACAACTTTTTGCTATTTTTAAATATATATAAAAACAAACAATTTTTCTTTTTTTATCAGTAAATTGTTTACTCTCTTATCCTTAATAAACCAATTATTAAAGCTACCTATTCTCGCGAAAATGAGAAATACAATTGTGAACTGTATTAAAGCATGAATTGGAGAAAAAGTTTAAGTCAGAATGCAAGCAAGACAAATTTATACAAGAACTTTTATTAAAGAAAGAGATAAGAGTTACTAATTACGTTGACATTAAATCTACATAAATAAAAACTTACTCTGCAGTTCCTGTTGAATAATCTTCATGGAGAATTTTTGTTTTCTTTTGTAAAATGCTATCCACTAAGTTTTTATTTTGACTTTTCTCTTCAACAACATTTAATGGAAGTGCTTTTCTCTTTCTTTTCATTCCAGGCACTTCTTTAGCAATTCCCTTTGCATCCTTCTCTTTTGGTAGCCTGCAATCAATATTATATTTTATTTGAATAAGAAATAGAGAAAATAAGTTATAAGATATAAAGAGCATACATAGGCTGGAATTTTCCAACAGATGCAGTCGATGTACGTGCTATAGTTACAGCTTCAGAAAGCTGTTGAGGATTTGGGAAGTGATCTTTAGTAGGTAGTCCAACTTTTGGTAATTTTATATTTTTCGCTTTAGCTATGTTGCGAAGCCTTTGTAATTCGTTTTTGGATTGTCTTTCCTTTTTATCTAATTTAGCTTTAGCAAATGGATCATTGGTTGGATCAGCATTATCATTGGTTTCTACCAACCATTCCTTCTGTTCCTGAGCTTTCGCTCGTTTATAACCATATGTAGGAATCCATTCCTTAAAAAAATTCAGAAAAGATCAGATAAATTGAAAACTATATTATTATAGAAACTTCACATATTTAGTTATTAAATAAATATATGAAAAAATTATTGGATATAACTAAAGAATAGTTTTGAAGAATAAATTTCTTACTTTTAATTCTTCATCCCATTTCAGTTTGGATTTACCCTTTTTCTTGGTCTGTATTCCTTTCTCCTTAGCAAACTGTTGCCACTTTGTCAAAGGTTTAGGTTTTGGAATAACACGTGAACGTGGCAATACATATTCAGGCTTGGGCAATTTAACCATTATAGTTTCATCCACCCGTTCTACTGGCAGTTCCCAGATTTTATTAATTAGCAACTGCACATTGTCCCTCGTTAAATTTTTTAAATATGAGTCTGATTTCGACCTAAATACAAACAGATTTAATGCAACATTAACATACATTTTTCAGACACAATATTGTAGAGATATTGAATTAAAGTTAATCTGAAATTAAAGTTACTTGAGAGTTTTGATATTCAAGGCATTATAATCGGATACAAGCAAAGTTCCCAGATCAATGTCAAGCTCTATCTCTTTATGAACTAATGTAGATTTAGATGGATCTGTGGCTTTTTCTTGTTCATTTTCCAATATTGATTTGACAAGATCCATTTTAAACAATTATAATATAACCACGTGTAATCACAATCGAATTACATAGAATGAAACCTTTCTTCGCGATTCGCGACATGTGAAAAAATATCGAAATCTACAGGAGCGCCTCTATGAACTATTTGTCAAACTGATAGGATTATTTCTGATAGGGTAGTTTCGAACCTGTGTTACGCCTACTCTTTGCCTTAGGCAAGTTTCGGCGACACAGCGTACACGGCTACCAACACCCTTAAGTTAACATAAATAATAAATATATTAAATATATGATTATAGCGATTCCAAGAATTAGCCATGGTAAGTTAAAGTATAAAAGTTCGTCATGATATAGCAAGTATATATCATACCCGGCATTTTTGTTCTATTTTTTATTATTAATTAAATGTATTTTTAATTTCAGTTATTCTATTCTTTCTTCAAATCCTTGATCGGAAAAGACGTAGTCGTTGAATTAAAGAATGATCTCAGGTAAAATATTGTGCTATATAGTTAAGTAAAATGTGTGTCAGATGACAATAACATTAATTTAACGTTCTACTTTAGTATTTGTGGAACATTATATTCCGTCGACCAGTACCTGAACATAAAATTGGCTGACATTAGCGTAACAGATTCGGAAAAGTATCCTCATATGGTATGTACAAAGTTGATTTTTCTTATATACTGTTCAAGCGCAATTATTATCTGTACAATATATATAACCAAATCTAACAGTATTAAATTTTAGTTATCGGTAAAAAATTGCTTTATTCGTGGATCTGTTGTACGATATGTACAACTTCCAGTAGATGAAGTAGATATTCATCTCTTAACTGAAGCAGCACGCAGAGAAGCAATGAATGCTCAAGCAAGATAGTTTACATTAATTATTTATATGAATCCTCCTCTTTTTTTATGCATATGGCTTATTCTATGTAAAAATGAGATACAAAAGTATTTCATATTCACATAATTCTAAAATGGTGAATAACAAAGTATCATTTTTTTCAATACATATACATATCTTTATTCAATTATTTAAGATTTGTAACAAATGCTATTTTCAAAACTTCAAACAATGCATATTTAAAATTGTGTAATGATAGTGAAGTTACGTTTATTTATTTGTGTTTATGAAAATAGCGCAATCAGGATTTATACGTTTATCTTATTTCCAATCTGATAAAGTTGCATCCTCCCAGATATATCTTCCCTTTATTTCTGTATTTTCTGGCAATAAAGCACAATAAACAGGTGCTATGGCTCCTTGATCTGGTGTCAAAGTTCCTCTATGGCTAGTCATATCTGTATCTACATAACCAGGATGTACTGAGTTCACTGCAATATCCTTTCGAGAATCTTTATTAAACATAGACTGATGAATACCAGCTAAAGCAGATACTCCAATTTTACTTGCTGCATATCCTGAATTTGGCCAACCAGCTTGTATATGAGTATTAGATTTTGCAGCACTAGAAATAAAGATATATACATGCATATATATGTAAATATTAAATAAATTTTGAAAAATTTTTTTGAACTAACTTATAACTATATTTTTTAAATACAATTATTTCATAAATTATATAATTACTTACCTGACAAATTCATGCATCATGTTATTTAATTCTTCTTCAGTTAGATTTGGATTAGATAATTTCTGTTTCAATGCGTCACTAGTAATGTTGCAAAGACGTCCAAGACAACTAGAAACATGAACCACCCGGGCATGTGGTCTAAGTAAAGGATAAAGTGCAGTACACACTCTATGTAAGCTGAAATAATTTACTCGTATTGTTTCTTCAGCTCGAAACCCAAAAGGTTCTGTATCATTCTATAATAATCAAATGTTAACATATCTATTAATTTCTTGTGTGTATATATATATATATATATATATATATATATATATATATATATATATATATGTTCTTATATGTGTGTGTGTTCTTTTTTAAATAAAATCACATTTTTATATCCCAATTTGCCAAAATAAATCATGGAATATCTTATGGAAACTACTATTTTTTTGTTGTATATATGAGTTTGATTGCACTGTCTTTTATATATATTTATTATTATAGTAATTATTATATTATATATATTTATATTATATTAATTATTATTATATTATATATATTTATTATTATAGTAATATTAAAAGAAATAAATGTATATAATTAAGGTATTATATTGTCTTATATAATAATATAATATTTTATATATATATATATATATATGTGTGTGTGTGTGTGTGTATATATATATATATATATATATACTCGAAAAATTATATAAGACATGTTTTTATTAATAAAAACAAAAATAACTTTGAAATCTTACTTAGTCGCTGAAACAATTTTGAATGTCATTCTGTATTCTTGAAATCATAAAAATATCAATTCTCGATGTCTTATTTTAATTATTAATTTGAATTATGTTTTAATTAAGTAACAATTCTATATTAGTATATTTCCATAAGATATAATCTCAAATATTTAAAAATTAACTAGAAATTTATAAGATTTGCATACACACACACATTTATATATATATATAATCTAAAAAAAAAATATCTAAATTATTCTTCCATTTTAAAAACTATTAAATTAAAAAAGAATATTAATTACTTTAAATGCTATGGCAGCATTGTTAATTAATACATCCAAACCACCATATGTATTCTTCAAGTAATCTCTTAATTTAATTACACTCTCATCATCATTGATATCCAATTGATGGAATTTTGGTTTCAAATTTTGCTTTTCCAACTCACTGACGGCATTCAACCCGCGAGTGATATCGCGAGCCGTTAAATAAACATTTCCATCATATTTTTGACAAAGGGCTTTGACAATGGCAAAACCGATACCTTTGTTCCCACCTGTTACCTAAAAACAAGACAGCATACATTGGCAAATTTTCAAATTTAAGAAAATTTTTTATTAAATCTTAATTAAAAATAGTTAATATTATATTAAATATACATGGATTCATTATTTTATAATTAATTAATTATAATTACGTACCACAGCCACACGAGTCATTGTGTCTTACAACCGACGACGAGATAATATATTTTTTTTAGTAATTTGCCACTTCTATATATATGTCCTGATACTTGCGATACTTTATATTACTAATATGATAAGATAGTATAAACAAGCAAAGGCATTTGCACATAGAACGCGTTAACACATTTCAATCTGTCAAAGTGCTACATTTGCTTGATCAATCAGATATCGTATTTGTTACTGTAAATAATGATAAGTTAACATATAATAAATATATTAAATGTAAGATTATTATGATTACCAAGAATTAGCCATGGTAGTTAAAATATAAAAGTTCGTCATGATACAGCAAGGTTCCATTTTTTTATTATTTATTTAAATGTATTTTTAATTTCAGTTATTCTATTCTTTCTTTAAGTCCTTGATCGGAAAGGACGTGGTCGTTGAATTATTCTGTACAATATATATAACCAAATATAACTGAATCATGGATTAAGTTTTAGTTATCGGTAAAAAATTGCTTCATTCGTGGATATGTACAACTTCCAGTAAATGAAGTAGATAATTTCATCTCTTAACTGAAGTAGCACACAGAGAAGCAATGAATGCTCAAGCAAGATAATTTATATGAATCTTTATATGTATCTTTAATTGATGGCTTATTCTATGTAAAAGTGGGATACAAAAGTATTTCATATTCACACAATTTTGAAATGGTGAATAACAAAGTATCATTTTTTTCAATACATATATATATATATATATATATCTTTATTTAGTTATTTAAGTCTTGTAGCAAATGCTATTTTAAAATCTTCAAACAATGCATATTTAATATAATAATGGTAAAATTTACGTTTATTTGTGTTGTACTTATGAAAATAATTAGCACCATCAGGATTTATACATTATCTTATTTCCAATCTGATAAAGTTGCATCATACCAGATATATTTTCCCTTTATCTCTGTATTTTCTGGCAATAAAGCGCAATAAACAGGCGCTATGGCTCCTTGATCTGGTGTCAAAGGTCCTGTATGGCTAGTCATATCTGTATCTACATAACCAGGATGTACTGCGTTCACTGCAATATCCTTTCGAGAATCCTTATTAAACATAGACTGATGAATACCAGCTAAAGCAGATACTCCAATTTTACTTGCTACATATGCTAAAGGTACTTCGATTTTACTTGCTACATTTGTTGAAATTGACCAACCAGCTCGTATATGAGTATTAGATTTTGCAGCACTAGAAATAAAGATATATATATATATATATATAAAATAATTAATTTTGAAACATTTTTTTGGACTAATTTATAACTCTATATTAAATATAAATATTTCATAAATTATATAATTACTTACTTGACAAATTCATGCATAATGTTATCTAATTCTTCTTCAGTTAGATTTGGATTAGATAATTTCTGTTTTAATGCGTCACCAGTGATTTTGCAAAGACGTCCAGCACTACTAGAAACATGAACCACTCGGGCATGTGGTCTAAGTAATGGATAAAGTGCAGTACACACTCTACGTAAGCTGAAATAATTTACTCGTATTGTTTCTTCAGCTTGAAACCCAAAAGGTTCTGTAGCAGCATTCTATAATAATCAAATATTAATATATCTATTAATTTCTTATATACATGTTCTTTTTTAAATAAAATCACATTTTTACATCTTAATTTACCAAAATAAATCATGGAATATCTTATGGAAACTACTATTATTTTGTTTTACATATGAGTTTGATTGTACTATGTTTTATATATTATATATTTATAATTATAGTGATATTAAAAGAGATATTATATAATTAAAGTATTATATTGTCTTATATAATATATTATTAACATATTATTAAATAAAATAATTTGTAATTATACATATATGTATATAATTACAGATTATTTTAATATATATAAGATTAGTAAAATTATTTAAGACATGTTTTTATATTCATAAGAACAAAAATAACTTTGAAATCTTACTTAGTCATTGAAAAAAATTTTGAATGTCATGCTGTACTCTTGAAATCAAAAATATCATTTCTTAATGTTTTATTTTGATTATAATTTTAATTGTATTTTAATTAAGTAATAATTGTATATATGGTATTTCCATACGATATAAATCCTAATATTTAAAAATGAACCAGAAATATATAAGATTCGCATGTATATTTTTATGATCTAAAAAAAAAATTAAATAAAATATGCACATTATTCTTTGATTTGAAAAACTATTAAATTTAAAAAATATTAGTTACTTTAAATGCTATGGCAGCATTGTTAATTAATATATCCACACCACCATATGTATTCTTCAAGTAATCTCGGAATTTCATGACACTGTCATCATCATTGACATCCAATTGATGGAATTTTGGTTTCAAATTTTGCTTTTCCAACTCACTAACGGCATTCAACCCGCGAGTGATATCGCGAGCCGTTAAATAAACATTTCCATCATATTTTTGACAAAGGGCTTTGACAATGGCAAAACCGATACCTTTGTTCCCACCTGTTACCTAAAAACAAGACAGCATACATTTGCAAATTTTCAAATTTAAGAAAATTTTTTATTAAATCTTAATTAAAAATAGTTAATATTATATTAAATATGGATTCATTATTTCATAATTAATTAATTAATTATAATTACGTACCACAGCCACACGAGTCATTGTGTCTTACAACCGACGACGAGGCAATATCTTTTTTTTCGTAATTTTCCACTCTTATATATATGTCCTGATACTTGAAAGTTTACTAATATGATAAGATAGCATAAACAAACAAAGGCATTTGCACATAGAATGCGTGAACACGTTTCAATCTATCAAAGTGCAAAATTTGCTAGACCAATCAGATATCGTATTTGTTATTGTAAATAATTACAAGTTGACATATAATAAATATATTAAATATAAAATTATAGTGATTTCCAAGAATTAACCATGGTAGTTAAGTATAAAAGTTCGTCATGATAATAGGCAAGGTTCTATTTTTTTTATTATTAATTTAAATGTATTTTTAATTTCAGTTATTCTATTCTTTCTTTAAGGTCTGGATCGGAAAGGACGTGGTCGTTGAATTATTCTGTACAATATAACCAAATATAACTGAATCATGCATTAAGTTTTAGTTATCGGTAAAAAATTGCTTCATTTGTGGATATGTTGTCTAATATCTAGAACTTCCAGTAGATGAAGTAGATATTCATCTCTTAACTGAAGTAGCACACAGAGAAGCAATAAATGCTCAAGCAAGATAATTTATATGAATCTTTATATTTATCTTTAATTGATGCATATGGCTTATTCTATGTAAAAATGAGGTACAAAAGTATTTTAAATTCACACAATTTGGAAAGAATGAATAACAAAGCATCATTTTTTTTCAATACACATACACACACACATATATATATATATTTTTATTCAATTATTTAAGTTTTGTAACAAATGTTATTTTAAAATCTTTAAACAATGCATATTTAATATAATGATGGTAAAATTTACGTTTATTTGTGTTGTACTTATAAAAATAATTAGCACCATCAGGATTTATACATTATCTTATTTCCAATCTGATAAAGTTGCATCATACCAGATATATTTTCCCTTTATCTCTGTATTTTCTGGCAATAAAGCACAATAAACAGGCGCTATGGCTCCTTGATCTGGTGTCAAAGGTCCTGTATGGCTAGTCATATCTGTATCTACATAACCAGGATGTACTGCGTTCACTGCAATATCCTTTCGAGAATCTTTATTAAACATAGACTGATGAATACCAGCTAAAGCAGATACTCCGATTTTACTTGCTACATATGCTGAATTTGACCAACCAGCTTGTATATGAGTATTAGATTTTGCAGCACTAGAAATAAAGATATATACATGCATATATATGTAAATATTAAATAAATTTTGAAAAATTTTTTTGAACTAACTTATAACTATATTTTTTAAATACAAATATTTCATAAATTATATAATTACTTACTTGACAAATTCATGCATAATGTTATCTAATTCTTCTTCAGTTAGATTTGGATTAGATAATTTCTGTTTCAATGCATCACCAGTAATGTTGGAAAGACGTCCAGCACTACTAGAAACATGAACCACTCGGGCATGTGGTCTAAGTAAAGGATAAAGTGCAGTACACACTCTACGTAAGCTGAAATAATTTACTCGTATTGTTTCTTCAGCTTGAAACCCAAAAGGTTCTGTAGCAGCATTCTATAATAATCAAATATTAATATATCTATTAATTTCTTATATACATGTTCTTTTTTTAAATAAAATCACATTTTTACATCTCAATTTACCAAATAAAATCATGGAATATCTTATGGAAACTACTATTATTTTGTTTTACATATGAGTTTGATTGTACTATCTTTTATATATTATATATTTATAATTATAGTGATATTAAAAGAGATATTATATAATTAAAGTATTATAATGTCTTATATAATATATTATTAACATATTATTAAATAAAATAATTTGTAATTATACATATATGTATATAATTACAGATTATTTTAATATATATAAGATTAGAAAAATTATATAAGACATGTTTTTATATTCATAAAAACAAAAATAACTTTGAAATCTTACTTAGTCACTGAAAAAACTTTTGAATGTCATGCTGTACTCTTGAAATCATAAAAATATCATTTCTTGATGTTTTATTTTTATTATTAATTTTAATTGTATTTTAATTAAGTAATAATTGTATATATGATATTTCCATACGATATAAATCCTAATATTTAAAAATGAACCAGAAATATATAAGATTCGCATGTATATTTTTATGATCTAAAAAAAAAATTAAATAAAATATGCACATTATTCTTTGATTTGAAAAACTATTAAATTTAAAAAATATTAGTTACTTTAAATGCTATGGCAGCATTGTTAATTAATATATCCACACCACCATATGTATTCTTCAGGTAATCTCGGAATTTCATGACACTGTCATCATCATTGACATCCAATTGATGGAATTTTGGTTTCAAATTTTGCTTTTCCAACTCACTGACGGCATTCAACCCGCGAGTGATATCGCGAGCCGTTAAATAAACATTTCCATCATATTTTTGACAAAGGGCTTTGACAATGGCAAAACCGATACCTTTGTTCCCACCTGTTACCTAAAAACAAGACAGCATACATTTGCAAATTTTCAAATTTAAGAAAATTTTTTATTAAATCTTAATTAAAAATAGTTAATATTATATTAAATATGGATTCATTATTTCATAATTAATTAATTAATTATAATTACGTACCACAGCCACACGAGTCATTGTGTCTTGCGTAATATATTTGTTCGTAATTTGCTATTCCTATCTCCTGTTTGATACTTTGTATTACTAATATGATAAGGTAGAAAGATAGTGAGAATATGCAATTTAATGCAACAGATTCTTCGTATTTATCAATTAGATTGAAAATATAAAGGCTTCCTCACACGATCATAAACAAGGCAGTTGCACATAGAACGCGTCAATGCGTGTCGATCTGTCAAAGTGCAAAATTGCCCAACCAATCAGAGTCGAGGATCTCTTTATTCTGATTGGTCGAGCGCTTCACCCTAGATAGATATATTTTCGAACACAATCTAGTATGTCACCATCTGATGTACTTTCGAATTGTTCGTGATTATTGTTTGTGCACTCATCGCCGGTCAAGTTCAATAAAGTACGAGTATCCGTATTAATTGACGCTTCACATCGTGTTAATTATCCGTTAATTATAAAGCCGATCATGTCGCGTGTACCGACATCGCGATCGCGATTGATTTCGCACGCGCGAGATTTGATTTCGTCGGTCGTGAATGTGAATCTTGCTCGACGTTCGTGTTCTTCCGAAATCGCGTGACGTCACAGCTCCGACTCGACCCGCCAAAAGTTCGCGCGCGCGAGTTTACGAGGGCGGATCGCGAGAATTGTCGGGCGCTTTTGACGCGAAAATTTCCGGAGTATTTCGACGTTGTCGATCGTATTCTAAGTGGGCAATTGTGCGTTTCCGATCGTCCTATCGCATCATCTTGTCGAAGTATTGTTACGCGACGAATTAAGTTTGTAATATATGCGTAAAAATCGATCAATTACGATCGAGGTCGCGTGGCCATTTTTTTCTTAGTGCTCAATTCTTGAATATCGGCGACTTTTGAGTACGTCGCGGGGGAAATCGCCGCATCATCGTCGTTCGATATAAGGCCCTCCGATAAGGGCCTTGAAAAAAGCGGCGATGCGAAAACGGAGCATCGGTTTTATTCGCGAATAAGCATCGAAAATGTGATATCTAAAACCCGGGCGTCGCGAACAAAAAAATAACGCGAGTGCAAGTGTTTCATCGAAGCTTCTTCTACGAGGACAATTCCTGATGCAGAGGTTAGTTTAATATTTAATATGAAAAATAGTCGACTTTTTGATAATCTAAATTGAACGATGAATATTTGGATGAAATAGATTTATGTGTTTAAGTAATTATATATGTATATATAATATAACATTTATTTTAATTTTCTTTATTATTGTATTTATATTGATTAACTCGAAATCGATCATTCGATTGAAGTTATATTGACTCGTATCACTTAAATGAACTAATTATTGAAGACTATCAACTATTGGTAAATTTTCGTGATTATCAAATGAGCTCGATAAGCTCGAAGGTAACTGAAAAACGGTATCATTACCAACAGTATTTGACTTAGTGAAGGGTAATAGAGTATTTGATTTTACCGATTAATTTTTTATTATCATATAACTAAATATATTTTTCACGGTTTTTTATTTTCAATAAGTACGTTCACTATCATAATTTTATCAAAAAAGGTGGCATATTGAATTTTTGTCCAATTATATATGACTTATTCCCTTGCATTACATTTTATCATACGAACTTTATATATTTTGTATTTATGATCTAATATAATATATAGAAATCTGCGTACGTATTTTATATTAATTGAAAGAAAAATGAATAATTTATAATTATTTCGAATTTTATTGTTTAATTGATTTATAATTGAAGTGAAACCACAAAACATTTACTCAAATTTATATACCATTTCATATAATTTTTTAAAAGTATATCTATTTCTGTTTTTTTCTGTTTATCTCAGACGCCAATTTTCTATAAAGATAATATATAGATAAATTCATTTGAATATATTATATAGGATTTATATTGGTTTGCTTGCTTTGCTTACATTTCTATTTATTATTCTTCTAATATTATTTAATTAATTAATTTGATGAATTTTAATAACAAACATTTATATAACAAAATGCTCTTAACAATAAGGATTATATCAAAAGAAATAATAATTGTCATAGATTAAAAAAAAATAAAATTAACATTAACAAATTGAGTAAATAAAAGACTTAAAATAAAATATGGCATATATATTAATGCAAAGATTTATCATAAAGTAAAATTTGTTGCAGAATAAAATTATTATGGAGTAATTCAATTTTATTATTTTTAAGATATATACAATTCGTTTATAATTTTTGTTGTTGTTTTTAGAATTATTAATATGTTTTAAAAATATAAAATATGAGTCATACATGAGAAAGAGAGAAAAAGCAGATATAGTCAGATAATTTTTATATTTTACTTTAAAAGATTATTGGATAAAAATAATATAATATACGTGCAAGTATGAATGTGGCAAATATAAATGTCATATATAATATCTTATGTATATATAAAATCATAAAAAATTATCAAAAAAGTGGATGTATATACCTACATTCCAAATTCACTTTAAAACGAAGATTTCATATAGATTGGTTGCATATCAATTTTGCTAAATTATTTGCTTGCTAAT